AATCCACGAATTCATTAATTTAACAAGTCATTTTGTTCCTTGAGACTTAACAGTAGCATTACTTATACTAAAAGTCTTTAAAATATTTGAGCCTCATTAGAATTGCATCTCATTTTCTATCTAAAAACTTGAAAAAATGGCGATAATCTATTTTAGCTTTCCAAAACAATGCTTGTTAAAAAGTGTGCTAACTTTAGACTTATGGAACACAAAGGCCATAAGCCTTTCTTTAGCGGTAAGTCTTTTGGAACATTACGAATTTCAACTTCTTACTGTAAATCATTTAAAATTGAAGCTATTGTTTAAATTCTATAAAAAGTGAGCCCCCCGCCAAGTGAGCATAAACTTTGACAAACATTATTTGCTTTTCTATTGATTATTTATAAAATATTCAATATTTAATAGCTACTTTCTCGCAATCGTCTCTCTTCAATACTTTCCTTTGTAGCTCTAAAAATAACCCACGCTTAGCCGCCATTATCAAATTTTTCCATTATAGGCACACAGTAACTAAATGGTTTTTACATTTTTAATGGCGTTTATCGTGGTGATCGTCATGGTCGTCATGATCATCATGGTCCTCATGATCATCATGGTCTTCATGGTCATCATCGTTATCAGTGTGGTGCTCATCATCGGTGTGGTGCTCATCATCAGTGTGATCATCTCTTTTGTGCTCATCATCCGTGTCTTCTTCGGCATTTTTCTGTTCCCCAAATCTGGGAGATCCAACATTATCCCCTCCTTTATTCTGCCCGTTATAGCCTCCGCCCCCGGAATATCCAGGTCTACCGCCACCGCCACCGCCACCGCCGCCACCGCCACCACCACCGCCACCGCCATGCCCGTGGCCCATGTACTTTTTGATCAATTCTAAGATGTGTTTGCCGCACGTTATCAAATGCTCCTTGTCGATTTTCGGGCAATGCGATTCTGGATACAAACAAACGATTTGTTAAATAACAGTCACAGCTCAAGGTGGACAGACGACCTTGTCAATAGCAGGACGGCGCTAGAAGCCGGCCGCTACCAACCGGCCAATCTGGATATCATTGGGGAGACAGTGGTTCAGCAATCAAATGGACGTCTTGTAGTTCTTTTGTTTTTAATAAGCATTTATAATTTGTATTCCACATATCACTAATAGTCCCGTTAGCCCCTCGTACTAAGCTAAATATGCTTGTGTCACGTGTGAGCTCACCACAATAGTCGAGCGGCGGCGGGCACCGAACCCGCGTTCCCCGGATCACGAGTCGGCCAGTCCGACCCCTTCACTGGTTTGGCTATCCTAGCTTCGATATAAAATAACTTTCAGGGGATGAGGTACTTAACAGTATAATAGAATCATCTTACCAGCAGCTCGAGTGGCTTGGCTCGCTTGATCCTGGAATCCACCCCCTTGTTGATAGCCCTGGTTCTGGTCATATCCCCCTTGTTGATACTGATAGCCCTGATTTGGTTGGTACCCCTGTTGGTAACCTCCCTGCTGGTATCCTTGTTGGTAACCACCCTGCTGAAACTGCTGGTAACCCTGTTGAAAACCTTGTTGAAATCCTCCCTGCAAATTAATAGAAAATAGGGATTCGGGCTAGTGAAGCTTTAAAATAGATAGATAGATACCTAACTAAGGGTCTCAAGAAGGTGACATGATGACAGTATGACAGACTTTTGTGAATGATGAAATTGTAATAGAACTTGAAAGCTTAGTTACAACCTTTTTAATGAATCGTTATTAAAATTCTTAGCGATTAGAGTCGCTTCTGAAACTTAATTTTTTAGGAAACAACTTGAAAAAATCGAACTGTCTAAGGCGGGAATTGAACCCACGACCTTCCGCTTGCCGGGCGACTGCTCTTCGAACTGAGCTACTTAGACATTGGATGAAAACGTCGAAATTTTCAAGCGTAATACCACAGAATAATAATAAGTACACGCTGTTATGGCCACGTTTTATTTCATCAATGTACTCCCCGTACTACCCTTAAAGCCCGGCAAGCGAAAGGTTGTGGGCTCGATTCCCGCCTTAGGCAGTTCGATTTTTTCAAGTTGTTTATTATTTAATGTAATGAAGCTTTAAAGTAGTTTTAATACTTGACCAATATGTACAGACATCGGACTACATTTTTGTTGCCCCTATTACATGGAATTTAGGAAAATAACTCACAGGTCCGTACGGTATGTTATCATTGTTAGCGCCCTTCCCGCAACACTGGAAAAGCAACAGTTTATGAGTTTGATGGCTTAGTGGTCCAGAACGTAGGAGGTACCAGGTTCAATTTCTAGTTTACAAAATGATTTCCCAAATCGATTTGACTCCAGGAGAGCTAGGACACAGCTAGGAGCTCACCTAGACGTAGGACCTTGTTTTTACTCCTTGTAGAATCTGCCTTATCATTAGAATCTTTCAATAATCATTTCAGCCACAGGACGTCTAAGTGCTGCTGAACATAGGCCTCTCCCAATGATTTGTTTTAATAATTTATCGATTTAGATTGTACCTACATCATCATCATTTCAGCCATAGGACGTCCACTACTGAACATAGGCCTCCCCACTGGCCAATGCTTTCCACGTTGATTGATTGGTACCTACACAATGTTAGGTAATTTTCTAACGTTTTTTGTACAAATCGTATCGAGTAAAACAACATTTTGTTTATTTACCTTTCCAATGCACATGATGTTTTCGCCCTTCTGACCCACCGCACTACCAAACCACACTACCAGTAGTGTCGTGGGGAATATTTTTTCCCTTCTGCACTACCAAGCCAGTAGTGTCGTGGGTAACATACATCTTCATTCCCATCGACACTACTACCATAACTAAATGTAAAATTAGTAAAATTTTGGATTGTTTTGCAATAAATTATGTTTATATGCAACCCTAACCTCTCGGTACAAATTTGCAGTTTGACGGAATTTACTGAAAATAAAATATTACCTAAAAGGGCTTATACCCATATAACTTTGCGTATATAAAGAAAAACAAAAATTATTTTTACCCGACTGCGGCAAAGCAAAAGAAGGGTTATGATTTTGACAGGATAAGTATGTATGTATGTTCATCTGTTCCCTCGTAACTTCTAAACTACTTAACAGAATTCGACAAATGACATATCATTAGAAGCGTCTTAATTGTCCGCTGGTTATAGGCTATATGGGGTTTCACAAAATCTAATGTGGCGCCCTCTAGCGGACAAACCATACAGAGTAAAAAAATAAAGTTAAGATAAATGTGCCGTGTTTGGTATCATTTGAAAGTGCTTTACTTGTACATTTACCGTAACATGTACATAAGCCCTTTTAGGATATATTTTATTTTCAGTAAATTCCGTCAAACTGTAAAATTGCACAGAGGTTAGTGTTGCATAATTTATGATGAACATAATTTATTACAAAACAATCCAAAATTTTACAAATTTTACATTTAGTTATGGTAGTAGTGTCGATGGGAATGAAGATGTATGGCTCTTAAAAATTACCCACGACACTACTGGCTTGGTAGTGTAGAAGGGAAAAAATATTCCCCACGACACTACTGGTAGTGTGGTTTGGTAGTGCGGTGGGTCAGAAGGGATGTTTTCGCTTCAACGTGTTACACAATTATTTTATTCATGATTCGCTTTATTTTATTTTTATTCAAAATCATTATTTCAATCACGAATAAAACATTTTAACACCGAAAACACACAATTTTACATAATTTAAATGTGGACACTTCCACGATAATTTTGACATTGAAATTGTCAGTTTTGAGAAGAATAGACAGAAAATCTACCACAGACAGGATATTGAAATTTTTCACTCGGAAATGGGCTAAGTTTTCATGTTACCTACTTTAGGGAATCGTTGGTTCGTCCGTTTCAGCCAAATGACGTCCACTACTGGACAAAGGCCTCTCTCATGAATTTCTACAGGGACCAGTCCTGCGCCGCCCGCATCCAGTCAACTATCGTAACCCTCACGAGATCATCGGTTCACCTAGTGGGGGACTGCCTACACTACGTCTTCTCATAGGAATACCTTATAGGGAATATCTATTGCGGGTTAGGCAGTAGATAATTTACAAGGGTAGTTTCGTAAATATTTTTATTAACTATTATTGTTAAGTCTAGACATGCCTATCTATCAACAGGTGGTAAAGTAAATTGAAATGCATTTAAAAATAAAATAATATTTTATTAAAACCACAAACAGAGTAACTTCTATAATAAAAACATTAGAAATAACACAGACATGATTTTGTATAAAGAAAAGGCAAAAAAATTATTGTACACAATCAAAACAGATAGACAGCATTTGACTTCACAAGCACAATACACAATTTAAATCTAATAAAATGTAATCACTGCATGTACATTACGAAGTATTTTCAAAATTCTGATTTAATACATAACTTGTTAGTTTAAATGAATATTTTAAGCTTTAATTTCCATTATTCCAAGCTTTCTTCAGTCAGATTCTACTTTCAGACCTTGTGTTGACTTGAGACTCGAGTATTTTAATGTTTCAAGGCTAGCCTTTTTTGAGAAGTTTTGAGCCTTTATAAATCTTTAAAAAATGATCAAGTCTCAAAAGTCTTACGGAACATACTCTTTAAGCCACGTATTCCAAAACGCTCCCATTTAAATTTAAAGCTCAAGCATAGTCAAGTTGTTGGTCGAAAACCATCATTCTCGTAGTTGAATTTTTAGGATTTCACCGACGAAATTCCAACGCAACCTTTAAAATTAAACGATGAGAGCTATCCCAGACAGTAGAGGATTATTTAAACTGACTAACACAGTCAGTAGTTCCTCAATATTCTCGTTCCCATCACTGCAATTCCTGTGCATCCAGAATCTACAGCTTGACCCCTTTCCACTCTTGTTCCCATCACTGCAACATCAAGGGTCTACAGCTTAAAAAACCGCCAATTAAAACCCGACCAGGGAAGGCCGAGTTTTAAACTAAGTTTGTACCTGTCCAGCACAAACTCTCTAAGCTGTTTAACTCAATAAATTAATGATCGTCATGTCCGTCCGTGCCAGCATCGTGAGGGGCGCCTGACCCAAAGCCGGGGGGGCTGACAGTAGTGCCACCACCGTCATCGAATCCCCCACCAGTGCCACCGCCCCCACCGGGACCGTAAGCCCCCCCGTCATCGTTGCCCCCGCCTCCAGACATGGCAGCCATTGCTTGGCAACACGAGCAGAAAAGGCAAGTGAGGCACGCAGCGAGACTGGCCATTCCGCACATTCCCATGCCTGAGGATCCTGAAAAAAAAAATGGGTCAACAGGATTTCGAGGATTATGAGGTTTCTTCGTACCAATCATCATCATCATTTCAGCCACAGGACGTCCACTGCTGAACATAGGCCTCCCCCAATGACTTCCACGTCACACGGTTGGCAGCGGTCTGCATCCAGCGCCTTGCTAAAGTCTGGTCTGTGAGCACGTAGAATTTTGTCCAATGACCCCAAGCTACCCATCCTTATCGCTCGCGCGTAATTATGTTGCTATCGCGCTCGCACTCTCACTGAGGTACGTGAGGAGCTACGTGCTCACGGACCGGGCTTTACCTTTATAATGTCGTCGGTCCACCTTGTGGGTGGACGTCTCACGCTGCATTTTCCAATACGTGGCCTTCGTGGTTTTCGTACCAATAACACGTGAAGAAAAAAAAAGAAAAAAAAATGGTTGAAGGAACGTTCTATGAGACTCGTTTTAAAAAAAATCTAAAAGTACCTACTGTTGTAAACCCATATTATTAAGGTTTCGCATTTTATTGATTTGAATTTGATTTGTCTATTCAAACTCAATATTAAAGTTCCCTACAAATATCCTAGATATCCAATCAAAATCCTGTGTCCGCCCTTCAGAAAAACGGTATCTGGATCCTACTCCCCAATATCTAGACTCTGTAAATTGTATAATGAGTACAGCACTGAACTAGACTTATTTGGCATGTCGATTAATAAATTTAGGCGTCAAGCACACTTATTAGATAAGTAGATCAATGTCTCCAGTAACATACCTACCTACTATTACTTTTATTATGCATGCTGTGTTTGCCCATTTCATATATTGTACAATTAGAAATTAAGTTAGAATTTAGTAATATAATACAAGTATTATTGTACAATTGTTGGCAGACCAATAAAATAAATAAATAAATAAATTTGATTTGAATCTAACCTTGTTGCTGCTGCTGTTGCATTCCCGGCTGCTGGGGGTACCCCTGTGGAGGCGGGTATCCTTGTGGAGGCGGGTACCCTTGTGGAGGCGGGTACCCTTGCTGATACCCTTGTGGTGGAGGGTACCCCTGTGGTGGAGGGTACCCTTGCTGTGGGGGGTATCCATAGCCTTGTTGGGGTTGGGGGTACTGAAAAGGGGTTTGGGGTACAGAAGGAAAATAGTTCAACTGCTATCAGTTTAGCATAGCTTGTAGTTATAGTTAGTCGAATAATTTAGGTGATTACTTTAATTTATTTACCTGTCCATATCCTTGCTGCTGGCCTCCCTGAAACATACAAATTCACCGTTAATATAGTAGTGTAATAAAGGATATTCAAATTCTTTATAATTATCTAAATTCTGAGCGTAAGCTTCTTGAACATAATATGGTGGAAGTAACTTGGAGCCAGGATCTACAGCTTGACCGCCAATAAAAACACAACCAGTGAAGGTCAGTGAAGAATATTAATTGATACCTACCTACTTAGGTATAATAAGTAGTAGCAGGCCTGGCTCACTCCGCGCGGTACANGGTTGCTGGCTAGTGAAAAAAATAATTAATCTACTTATATGTCATGAGGTACGTACCTGACACGTATGTATGTAAGTACGCATTCATTATGGAAAACCTTGAGAGAGGCCTTTGTCCAGCAGTGGACGTCATTTGGCTGAAACGAACGAACGCATTCTGAGCAGTAGTCATGGTAGGTTAGGTTCCTATCCTAAGAATTATTGATTACCTACATGGCCAACATACCTTTCAGCATCTTTGGGAAGGGAAAAAAAAGATAAATCCGGTAGATTTCTTTTCGAATTTAAACACCCGAACGCCGCGCCGCACAATATTTCTTTCTCTTTGTCCATTTTTAAATAATACTTCGATCATAGAATTAGGCACTACAACGCACGCCAGCGTCCTGACGGACGCGCGCGTGACACTCGACTGATATAATACCCGCCGGCGGGGCGCTTCGCTGTAGGTAATTATCGGATGTACCGCGCGGAGTGAGCCAGGCCTGCCTCAGGCTAGTATAAAATGATTCAAATGATTCTCCAACTTCCTGTTTTCTTTCATTGAATTTAAATCGCTCAAATACCGGATTACTTTTGGGATTCACATATTTGTCGATTTCAGACACGATTTTGTCGTAACTTCGTCTCTCCTCGTCCGATAATTTAAAGGTTAGGATGACTTTGGTAGACTCCGGACCCATCATGTTTCGCAACAATGACAGTTTAATTTTGTCTGAAGCTCCATCTTGATTAGTTGCTATCAGATAGTCCTCGAACAAACATTTCCAATAGTTCCAATCATTAGCTGATTGCGAAGAGCGAATGTCGAAATTTGGAGGCAATTTCACTGACGCCGACGACGACTCCATGATATTTAACAGGACACTTTCAGTAGAAAACAATATTTTCGCATCCAATCACACTTTAGGATCGTTTCACAACGGCTGCGCCATGTTTTAATATTGAAAACTCTCAGAAATTAACTAAGATGTTTTTATAGTATAGATACGTTATACCCGCTCAAGAATGGCAATACAAAAGAGATACNTGTTTTAATATTGAAAACTCTCAGAAATTAACAACACATTTTTATTGTAAAAAAATCAAACATGAACAAACATGAATGACAGATGACATTGACATTCAGGTTCGAAACCATAAATAAAACAGAAAACACCCAGTCCAATACAAACAAATATGTTCATGCACACAAATGTTTGTACTATGCGGGAATCGAACCCGCTACCTCCGGAATAGTAGTCCCGTTTCGAACCACTACACCAAACGGCCGACATCGAACCACTACACCAAATGGCCGATATGTACTCCATTTAGAACACACGTCAAAGGTATAAATTAGTTTTAACAAACACGTTCTCTATTCGCTCTGTTATATTCAAAGTGCCAATTCAAATACGAGTAACTATGATACAATTTTGATCTCGTATTGCCTTTGCACTTTGAACTGTGAAAATGTATCGGAAACAACAAAGGATAATCCTAACCCTCCTGTACAAACAGAAAACACGACTTTCCATCAAATTTTGTTGAGTAAAAACACGCAGAGCGTTGGGTGCATTCGCTTTTAAATTAATGAAAAAATTGAGTTCAGTTTCAAATAAATATCTTTGGACATTTTTACACTTCGTCATGTTTATTTACACTTGTATTTGTTGTTGTTCTAGGATCAAACCCGCGACTTCTGGCATAGTAATCTGACGAATCAGCATGCTAGACAGTAAAAATAAAAATTATTGGCTTAACATCCCTATGACGACTTATAAAATCTGACAATAGAGTTAAGAATTGAGATCTAAACTATATTACAAACACTCGATAGAAGATAAAGAAAACTAAAAGAAGTCCTAGTCTATAAAGATTCAAGCATAAAAACTTTTAATTTTCTATAAATATTAATTCGCTCACTTCAGGAAAAGGGGAAGCTATTTCCCACAATGAATTATGTTCTCAAAGCAACATGTTATACATAGTTTAAGCGGGAAACTGGGACCCTTTTCAAAAAGTTGTCATTCACATACTTTTGCCGTGTTTACGGCAACGAGCCAGGAATTCGGGGCAGGATCCGAATTATAGGGCCTGAGCCCTGAAGTAAGTAGGGTAGACCGGGGACAATAGTACCATTTTTTGGAAATTGTTCAATATTGAGAAATCTAATGAAATATAAGTTATTCTGTTNCCAATCACACTTTAGGATCGTTTCACAACGGCTGCGCCATGTTTTAATATTGAAAACTCTCAGAAATTAACAACACATTTTTATTGTAAAAAATCAAACATGAATGACAGCTATGACATTGACATTCAGTTCCGAAACCATAAATAAAACAGGGGTGGTATCAAAAGAAGAAATTCGTACCATTTAAAACATGCAGGTAGATATTCGCGGTACTTCCATTATTCGTTGTACATTATTCATGAAGCCGTGTCTCCGTAACGAGTCGGTTTGAGAGGAAACCTACTGTCGATAATGAACTAACCGTTTTTATCAGAATACAAATTCCTTGCCTTTAATTTGGAAGGAATTTTACGCAGTTTTGTTGGATGCGCCGGTGATGGGGCGTATTTCGCCAATGGCTTTGATTAATTTATTTGAGAATACTTTCTTCCTTCAAAAGTCGTCTTATTTTCGTATTCCGCATTTAATAATTTCTTACCAAAAGGAGAAAGATTATTTAGAGACAACTTTTTTTATCGAATGAGTTTTTTATGTCTTGGTTGAACTGAACATACTTATTCAGCAGCTCGTTATTCAGCAGCTCGTTGACATAATTCTATAATATAGTAATATCCGACAGGGTAGGTATATGTCATTATCCCTACAAGAACCCTATTCTTTAGTTGTCTTCAAATATTTGTTATACCTCGATAAAGTAGCCTCTACCTATACCAAAATTCATCAAAAAAATTTCACCAGTTAAGACCTGAAAACGTGAAAACTTTCAGACAAACAGTGATACCATTACATATGTTTATTATAACACTTGAAACACGAAAGACCTGTCATTTCGTTATTGTTTTGTCTTCTTCACAATAGTCGTTGACAAAACTGGATCTCCCATTAATTATTCCCACCAACTAATATGCTAAGCGAGGGCATAAAAACTATGGTCCCCGAGAGGCAGACTTAACTAAAACCCATCACACCTCCGAGGATTAGAGCAGTTTTACTGCCGGAGCTGGCAGCATTACGGCGCAAGTACACTAAGAGCGAAATTGACCAAGACGTAATAGTGTGAACACAATTTCGGTTACTATCTCCTTACCCCACCCGTTTTTATAAGGGACGCGCGATGGTCGCTTGAAGAGCTTTTCCAGCTTCACCGGGCAGAGTGGCGAGTACAGAAGGTTTACGCGATCGGGCCGTATCGAGCGCCCAATCAGCGGCGAACCCAACTAGAGAGTTTGAGTTTTGGGTCCCCACCCGTGTGTCACCCATACTTCGGAGTGCGGGCTAGCGCTTCAACTTGAACAATTTCCCGCATAGTGTACTTGCGCCATTACGTCGTTAGGGTTGCAATGGCCGACGCCACATGGGCGATTATCTGTGGTCTTAAACTTTAAAGGGTGGCCATAAAGCATATCCATACGGTAATAGTTACTCACATGAAAGGAAGGTAAAGCGATAACATGATATTGTTATTCGAATACATAATTCAGATAAAAGTCTTACAATTTTAAATATTCCAAAACTCTTTATTTCTGTTAAAAGCATGACATCAATTTCCTTATCACTTATTACAGAAATTCCATACAAATTCTATTGGACAATTTCATTGTTTTGATTATACTCGTAGTTATTCCATCTATTTTTTATACATGTTAATGACTCTCAGTATTAATAACTATTAACTTTGAACGCACGATACAATAAATTAAAAGCTGTTCATAATAATTCGGATTAATTTCAACGTTTATTTTAATTACTGTATCATTCTCAAATATTGAATAATTACAATTACAATCACAAAGTACGCTTNAACGGCTGCGCCATGTTTTAATATTGAAAACTCTCAGAAATTAACAACACATTTTTATTGTAAAAAATCAAACATGAATGACAGATGACATTGACATTTAGTTCCGAAACCATAAATAAAACAGGTTTATCGTGGTATCGAAACAATACAAATTATCCTCCTTACAAAAAAATAGTTGTTCACATATTAAATGTTCAATCAGTGGAGCTGTAATAATAAAACCTTAAAGCATTTCAAGCTAGTCGCCCTATATTCCCGAAAATCGATGGTGATAACAGCTTCACTGGGCTAAGGCAGCTTTCCCTTGAGGACTACTGACCTAGAACGTAGGCACTAATATTTCTAACAAGGCTGCAGATAAGCCAATTAGGAGGTTAGACGCCACGAACGTACACGGGTCATGGGAATTGAAAATCTTATTTGAAATGGTAACATGTTGTGTTGATACTTGATACCTTCACTTGTTATTCTTAATACAAATAGCAATACTCGGTTTTACGAAACTTTTTCATAACTTACACGTTAGTAGATAAATAGTAAATATCCAACCAAACATCTATTGTTTACTCATCAAAGACATCCTGGAGTTGAGTCTGATATTGGTTTCGAAAAAAAATCTTTACTATCAGACAGAAACTCCGAAACTATTAGACCGATTTGAAAAATTCTTTCACCATTTAAATCCTACATTGTTTCTAACGAACATAAGTGGTACCTACCTAATAATATCGCCGGGTCGTCTAGTTAAGAATAGAACCAATACTTGAATGATTTACTAAAGTTATATTATCATTGTTGCAGATGAGCGGCAAGCGCACGCGCAGCTATAGATGCGCCGTGCACCAGCGCGACCGCGAGGTGAGCTCCGAGAACGACTTCCATCTGCTCCTCGAAGATCCCACACTATTCGCCAGGTAATACAACAGAATAAATCTTTGTTTGATACAAAATAGAAACAAAACAAACAATAATAAAATTAAGAGACCCGCCTTTTGTTTTTGCCACTATTAGCAAAAATAAACGGGGTCTCTTAAGACTCAGTATATCCCGCTAAGTCCTTTTAGTATTAAAGAAGGTAATTTGAATGCCTCTGCTAATGGCGTAGATCCTATTGGAAACTCGGGGTCGGAGACTCGAGTAGCCCGGTCACAAATTCGGCAGAAATTGAGGCTATTGGTAGTCATTACTTTTGGTAATAAAGAATAGATTCCGTCTGCTGATATATTAGATCCTAGCCTACTGGTCAAGAATTCACATTCATCAATGTTATGGCGGATGGAACTGAGTGTATTGCCAACCTTTATGGTGTAATCGACTTGAAAAGGATATTGTAATGTCTCACCAATTCAATTATTGTTTATCTATAACTTAAACACCTGTTTGACTATAATTTCCCGTTTGCAGTTAATGCTTTTGCAAGAGTGCTTAACAATTTAGATATTTCATACTTTCAGTATTTTCAATTTAATATCATGCAATAGTATGTTTAATTTATAATTTATTGTTATCATAGTCCATATGTAGAGTATTATTGCATGATTGCAACGAATTTGCCAACTAAATTGGCACATTTGATTTGCGACCCACGCATTAAGCAACAGTACATAAGAAATTGGTCGTGATAAATGATACATGATGTTTACGTAACTGATAGTTATTATAAAATTATTAATATTTAGGAAGTAATAAAAATTCCAAATTGAGTTCAAAATATTCACAAAGTGCCTATTTCAAATTCCGATCATAAATTCAGGAATGTCGCGTGACTTACCTACATCTGTCACATTTGCATAAGGTCCTAGACCCAATATAATTTTTAGTAATATGAAATTTTAGTAAAATGTAGACAATTTTAATTAACTAAAACCAATTCAAAATTTTAGTATGATAAAATTCGTAGTTTTACATTAAAACGATTAACAAATCGATCAACGTTTCAATATATTTTTTATGTTCACTTGTCGTGTCACACTGACATGTGGTGTGCTTTGGTACAACAATAAAAATCGTTATTAAATTGCCTCCAAACGTGCCAAGAATAACGTGAAAGTAAGATGATTGATTGATCGCTAACTATTTTCTCAGTTACACAGTTTTTCCTCGTAATTCGTCTTTCAATATTGGAAAATTGTTATCTATTTCTTATGAAGGTATTTGTTGTCTACCCGACTTACTTTCCGTGGTATTTTAATAACTTTCTATATTATAAAGCGTTAAAGAATCTATTTAAAAGTACGCCTATTGTACGAGTGCTTTCAATATTCAAAGTTCAACCTGCTAACCTAATCTTTTTACTTCTTTCTTTTCAACGAATGTTGCGTAAGCCTTACCACTAATGAGACCCGTTTGTTGCAGAATGGTGCACTTGGTGGCTATGGAGATGCTCCCGGAGGAGCGCGAGCGCAAGTACTACCAAGAGCGATACACTTGCTGCCCTCCGCCATTCTTCATCATATGCGTCACACTTCTTGAGGTAAACATCAAAGCAAACCCAATGTTTCTCGTTACCTATTTACACAAGTAAATCATTGATGTACTAAACGTTATCTTTAGGAATATCCGAATGTAAAACTTTTATAACGGTTATAAAATTGCCAATGTTCTCGAAACCTGATTTTGCTTACCTTTCTTCTTCGGATCTAATTGTATCGCTTGGTGATTTTTAAATGCTCTGACTTTGCACACAAACGGCTTCAGAAGTTGCGACCTACACAGCTTCTTGCTCAAATACCTTTGTTGACGGCTATAAAAGTGAAGAAATAGTTCTAAAGCGTTTACAGATGCATTGACGGTAATATTGCAAAACGATGTTGTATTCATAGTGCAAATGTGTTCAAATGGTGCATCACTTTCTATTGCACGTAGAGACCGCTGCGCGAGCCCCGCTCCAGTTACCGCGGTTAATTAAAATTTGTAATAGCGGATTTCACATCCGTGCAAACAAGCGGTTTACGTGAATCATAACAATTGGTGCGCCCGCGCCGCGCGTGCGCGCCGTCATACGTTGATTCACCGCAAAGTGCACGATTCTTGCGGAGGTGTGCTCCGCTATGGGCAAATCGCACGCAGCTTTCTGTTAACGGTTTTCCCTCCATGAATAATGGACTAAAACGTCAATAGTTACGCAAATCTCTCCTTAAACAAACAGGTTTCTAGTTGTTCAGTATCATCTAATGAAATGAGACGCTCTTATTTGTGCTCTTGATTGGGTCCGTCGGCGAGCGAGCGCAACAGGAAATTCCTCGTTATACGCAAAGCCAATCTCAGGGAAACAATCCTTCTGGAACGTCATTTACTAAATAGCATTCCCATGGAATAGAAAACAAAAAATGATATTTCCTCCTCAAGCACTTACCGTAGACACCTGATCATTAGCATCGGGCTTAACTTGTACAGACCCTGTGAAGCGTTGCGAATTCACCGGCCCGTCATGAAACATTGCATTTGATCTAGATCATATCAATATAAAGAAGTTAATGACTATAAAAAGATACAATTCTATTGCATACACACATTCATCATAAGAATTTTTTGTTTGACCACACTAGGTATCTTGGAAAAGCGACATACCATGAGTTGCGAGTGGTGGTTGAAATATCTATTGGGAGTTTATATCGCAGTTGCCTCGGATGCCTATAGGGGTATATGGGCTGTAGGTTTGAGAATCACTGTCTTAGAAGATTTGTCCGTTATATTTTACTAGCTTTCCGCCCGCGGCTTCGCCCGCGTGGAATTTTGTCTGTCACAGAAAAACTTTATCGCGCGCGTCCCTGTTTCAAAAACCGGGATAAAAACTATCCTATGTTCTTTCCCGGGACTCAAACTATCTCTATGCCAAATTTCATCAAAATCGGTTGCGAGGTTTAAGCGGGAAAGCGTAACAGACAGACAGACAGACAGACAGACAGAATTTATTTATAACTAGCTTTCCGCCCGCGGCTTCGCCCGCGTGGAATTTTGTCTGTCACAGAAAAACTTTATCGCGCGCGTCCCTGTTTCAAAAACCGGGATAAAAACTATCCTATGTTCTTTCCCGGGACTCAAACTATCTCTATGCCAAATTTCATCAAAATCGGTTGCGAGGTTTAAGCGGGAAAGCGTAACAGACAGACAGACAGAGTTACTTTCGCATTTATAATATTAGTTGGGATTTTCATATTAGTAATTTGTTATTACACTAAAAAAAATTTTCACAGTTCCGGTATGTGCTTAAGATATCGGCTCTGGTGGACAGCACGTTCCGAGTGGAGATGGAAGAGGTCAACCCGTTGTACCCTCGCTTCTCCACCATGCTTGCGTTGAAGGACACTCCGTTGGCTGACAAGTAAGACGCTTTTATTTTATTACACAACTAAAGCCTGGTCCCTGAGCACGTAGAATCCCGTCCAATGACCCCGCTGCCCATCCTTGTCGCTCGCACGTAATTATGTTGCTGTCGCGCTCGTACACTCACTGCGGCCGCCCGTCCCACAGTCGCGACAGCAATATAATTACGCGCGAGTGATAAGGATGGGTAGCTTGGGGTCATTGGACGGGATTCTACGTGCTCACGGACCAGGCTTTAGACTTTTTGCATGTTATTCTAAAAATCTTAACATCATAGAAAAGTATCATTAATGAAATTTCTCAAACTCAGCCAGCCAGCTCATGAAGAATTAAAACCCATCACCTGTCACTGCTTGTTAATTGGTACCAATGATTTTATTCAGAAAGCAAGCCTCACAAATCAACAGATCTTATCTTTTTTTTCTTTGCTTCATCTGCGGTCAGTTTCACAACTATGTGCGGATTGTAGTGTCCTTTTCATATTAAGTCTTTTCTACTGTCACTACCTTGTTTAATATACCACGCAATCTTGTATACCCATTCTTATAAGATACACCATACAAGAATGCTTGGTAAATTCAGTGAACTGCTCCTGAATCGAATGTAACTACTACTACTATTTCTATTTATTTATATTAACCGGCAGACAGTGGTGACTCAGTTTGTTGCGGCGCTTCTTCTCAGCACTTGCCAAATGTTGGTCTCGAAGCGCTGGTAGGGTAAAAAGATTATGAGACATGTAGAGGCTCCTTAAGAGCAAAATGACAATTTGTAAGAACTATTTATTAGTCTAAACAAATAAAGAAATTTTGACTTTGACTGAGAACACTACTTATTTATGTATTTCTTCACTCTCCAGTGCAGATATCATCTTTAAAGGGGAAATCTAACCTTATCTCCTTCCCAGGTTAGATCAAGTCTCAAAGAAGGACGGGCAGCTCATCGTGGCCAACTCCAAAGGCCACAAGGTGGTGATAACAGCCAGCCCTCTGAAGATCGAGTTCCTGGACAAGGAGGGAGAGGTCGCTGTGGTTCTGAATGAGAACTCTCAGCTGTTGGTTGAACCGTTGATTGAGAAAAAACAGAAAAATGAAGAGAACGGCGAAGTTGTTCAAGTGGTAAGTTAGGTGGTGGTGGTGGTAGGTTAGGTGGTGGTTCGTTCGTTTCAGCCAAATGACGTCCACTGCTGGACAAAGGCCTCCTCCAAGGTTTTCCATAATGCACGGTCCTGCGCTGCCCGCATCCAGGCTCTTCCCGCGACCTTTACCAGATCGTCGGTCCACCTAGTAGGAGGCCTGCCCACGCTACGTCTTCCAGCCCAGCCAGGTGGTGGTTACTGTTTTTATATTAAAATTTCTGATTGGAATTAAGATGGTTAAGTCACGAATTATGTTCTACTATTCTGTGGTTTGTAGCGACTTCGTCCGCGTGAAATAGTTATTTGTGTAAAGCTTTAACCACACCAACGCGTGCAGATCGCCATCGCCGGCACGATCAAAGGCCAATGACAGGTCGCGCGAACTGTCATGGGTCGCGCGACCTGTCATTGGCCTTTGATCGTGCACGTACACGCGCCGGTGTGGTTGAAGCATAAGCCTGATATTAAATAGCCTATTGCCTCAATCTATACTAATATTAGAAAGCTGAAGAGTTTGTTTGTTTGTTTGTTCACTTGAACGCGCTAATCTCCGGAACTACTGGTCCAATTTGAAAAATTATTTCAGTGTTAGATAGCCCATTTATCGAGGAAGGCTATAGGCTATACAACATCACGCTACCATCAATAGGAGCAGAGCAATAATGAAAAATGTTGCGGAAACGGGTTATCACGCGTACGAAGTCGCGGGCACAGCTAGTAATCAATAAATGTTCTATTTAACACTGAAACAATTTTTCAAATAGAATCTCTCAGACTCTAACCATTAGACCAGTGTTGATGTCGGTCTGTATTAACAATAATGTAATCAATAATAGTCGTATTCAATGACTAATTCAATAGATAAATAGACAAAGATTACAGAACGTGTCAACATTGTTTTGTACATGGGATCGATGACTCCTCATTGATCTCCGTTATCTGTACGTGACTGATAACGTTTTCGCGTGTGTCGTGCGCTAACCTTTACCCGCGGCTCCGCTCGTGTCATTTTCGATGACAATGATCATCTGTATCTTCAGTAAAAGATACCAGTGACTTTAAACTACGTCACAATCGTTATATAATATACTGATAAAATTTATCGCACATGTCTCCCTTTTTAAAAACTAGGATATAATCCTATCCTTTTTTCCCTCTCTCAAACTATCTCCATACCAAACTTTATCTTAAGTGTGTTCTGGTTTAAGCCTAAAAAAGTAACGGATAGAAAAACAGCATTTATCATAATGAGTATGCATTACTTGCACGCATGGATACTAGTCCATTGTTTGTATCTTTTTGAAGGAAATAATACCGGATTAGTTTAATAACGATCTCGATTCACGATTTCAGTTATAAGCCCTGTAAAATAAACTACTACCCTACAACGTTATCCAAACTTTCGTGTGTATCTGTCCCTCTCACGCAAAGCGAGATTCCATCAGGAGCATTAGTGACAAATAGACTTGCAAATTCATAAACGGCGTTAGAACTAATTGTAACCTAGCGTCCTTCATTAATAAAATAACAAACCGCAGTTAAGTCGAAATCCGTCCCGTCAATCCAATTTTATTATCTATCTGTGTAATTCAGCACGTATAGAGATAACAAAATAATGTATGTGATTTACAAATCAATCAAAATGTCTGATAAATAATTTATAGGTATTTACAGTACAGATTTTCAATGAACTTGAGATACTAAACGGAACAAAAGTAAATAGCTGATTAACTTAGAATGTAAATTATAGGTATACCTACTGACTCAGTATTACTGAGCCATTGCCTGCCGGTATGGGAGCGACACGGTAGGGGTGACATTGACATATTATGACGTGACAGAGCATATAGTTCCAAAATACTGGACTGTCCTATCCATGACATTGACAGTGGGGCGCCACCGTCAATACCGGATCGCTGGTTCCGATTTTTGCCATGTTGGAAACCATATACACTCAACATCAAATAAACCGCACCTTCCGCGACGCGAACTTTAAAGATTTTCTTCTGACACAATCATGGTACCCCAACAATTTTGGTGTTATTTGAAAGCCCAATAAATATCCTTAAAGAAAAATACATTTCATTTCTAAATAAATGATTAACATATACCATAAATGTGACTTGAAAATAGACCTCACTTTAGGCTCACCTCTGGGATCAATTAGACCAATTTTTATGGTTATAAAACCAAATAAAGATCTCACGTGTCCTCTTTAACAGATGGATAGCGATTAATCCCAACTTAACAGTTTTATAGTCATAAAAAATGGCTATAGCGTAACTACCTATTTTTTGAAGAAGTTACTCTGGATCCTTCTAAAGACACATTTTTGGGGTAAAATCTTTTCCTTTAATGAAATGAAGTTTAGAACTAGGCTTTCAAATGGTACCAATATTGGTGGGAAGTGGGGATGCATACGTTTGATAAGTGCTTGTCGCGGGAGGTGCGATTTATTTGATGCCGAGTGTAGTTGAACGATGGTAGCGCCCCCTGTCATTGAGTTTGGTGGGACAGTTCAGCGTGGGTCATCTATACAGATGTGAAGTCTCCCTGACGTTTGGCCGTCACAAAAACACCCTCACTTGCCGCTCCTACACTCATTTAAGCGCTAGACCTGTAATAAAAATATAAAAAGATAATATTCTAAATCGAAACATCCATCTACTTAAAAAATATCATAATAAATTGTGATTTTCTTTTAAATTAAAATATCAATTATTATTTTTAATTTTATGATTGCATTTAGAGTAGACGCACACCGTTGATTTTTCGTCGGCCGATAGTTTAGTCGGGCAGTTGATCAGTATGGGCATGTATGGGAGTGCGCACACTACGCCGATTCGGAAAATCGGGAAAATCGGGCACAACTATCGGCCAACTAAAAATCAACGGTGTGCGCATACTCTTACAATGAACTTGTTTACATTATTTGTGACACGCGTTATCTAATGAGTGCAGTGTTATGATTTGTACAATTTATTGTCTACGTGAGGTCATATCCAGAGCAACGTGTAATTTACACGCATATTAGTCCTAATTACATAATAATTAACACCTTATCTGTGTAGGTCGCGGGTGTTACATTCTGTAGTTATTAATAAGTAATCAATTATACATTATGAATAGCCAATCCTTAAAATGTAAAAATAAATAGGGATGCGGTAGTGGTAGTAATACGTCATGCATTTTGTGTTCGTCATCATCATCATCTCAGCCATAGGACGTCCACTGCTGAACATAGGCCTCCCCCAATGCTTTCCATGCTGCCCGGTTGGTAGCGGCCTGCGTCCAGCGCCTTCCTGTTGTGTTTTGTGCATTTTGTGTTCACATGGTCACAACTTACTGTTGTCATTTTAATATCTAAATTCAAAAACAAAAAAATCTATGATTCGTATGATAAAACGGATCAGTAATATTGTTTCTAAAAGTTACTTCAATTACTGTAACGAATCGGCAACTGCAATGGACAAGTTTCCAATTTTTGATAGGTTTTCAAACCAAAAACATTTCAAAATCGGTCTATTTGTAACAAGCAAATCATGTCCAACTTATAACTCTTTTGCGTTGTAGCTAAAAATGTTGCTTCGGTAATGTGTAAATGATCAATAACAATAGTGCTTTCCGAGTCCTCCATTTGCATCTGGTAAATTAGAGAGGGTCGTCTTTGTACAGTTAAATGTTCTGTCAACCCTTACCCATGTGACATGCGATGGAATAATTTGAATTTAGACATGCAAAAATAGTAAATTAGAGCAGCTCGGGCATCGGACCCCTGTTGCAGGACCCTAACGAAGGACCATAATGACCACAATGTCCAGTCGCGGGAATGCTAGGTAGACTAGCAAATAACGGTATATTGTTCCGAAGATAGTCAATTTCATACAAAACAATTCACTATAAAGGGGCTCGCGGAATACTACACTTGCGCGAGCTAAGTTAACACAGCGCCATCTGTTGGTAGTCTTACGAACTTTGTTCTTATAAACACTCGTACAGGAGACCTGATGATGTTTGTTTTGTTAGCAGGAAGAAGAAGGCATGTGGGGCGAGAACTTCAAGTCGCACCACGACAGCAAGCCGCGTGGTAATGAAGCCATCTCACTCGACTTCTCGTTCCCTGACGCTGACCAAGTCTATGGTAAGTAACACAGTGTGTCAAAGACAGGATTAAAAAAAAGAAATTAGAAAACAAAAAATAAAGATGTCAGATCAGAGTATAAAACAAGATTTTCAGAATACTGAACTGAACAAAGTTGCTAATGTAGTTGCACAGTAATTTTCATGTTTGGAAAGGCATAGTCACACGTTACATATACTTACCTACCGTAGCACTTTGACGTGTGACTGCGGTTTTCCAAACATGATAATTACTATGCAACTACGAGTACATTAGCAACTTTGTTCAGTTCAGTATTCTGAAAATCTTGTTTTATACTTTTTCAGCGTCGTTTTCTCATTTTTGCTCTCTTCGTATTATAACGAATTATGAAGAGAATCACAGTGTAGATCACAGATTTAGATTATTTAAAGGACCATGGGCAAAAAAGAAATGTTTGAACTGTAGTCCAATATCTCAACAATTAAAACCTATGTCAAATGAGAGCATTTAGGCCCAGAACAGACTGTGAAACGCAACTGCAACAAAACTGCAACTGCTAGTTACTTTTGAGTTGCATCTAAGTTTCTGCCATAGCGTCCGTTGAGAGACCACACATGACGCGACGCAACTGAAAGTTTCAAACTGGTTAAAGTGTATTATATTTCCAATGCTGTTAACCAAAGCAAGAAATTGAACCAACATGACTCAACGTCCTTTGTAGTGTAGGAGTAACATAAAATATGGATACGAACAGTGCAATGTTATTTAAATAAATTGTCTTTATTATGCAAAATCTGTAAGTCTAAGTCTAAGTTTGGTTGTGGCAAAGTAGGATAGGTCTACTAGCACCCCAGAACTTAAATAGCTAGATAATGGGTTCGCTGTCCCTTGGAAACTAACAGGACTTCGTGGAGCCAAAAGTTTGAGAAACCCTGGCGTAGACTATTCCATTGCCCGAGGTGAGTAACGCCAGAGTAAATACAAATGAGTAGGTCATCTTCATAGAAACGCACCGAGCGCGGTTTGTATGTGAGCGCGCCAATACGTATGCGGCGGGCGCCCGTCGCACAGTCGCGACAGCAATATAATTAGGCGCGAGCGATAAGGATGGGTAGCTTGGGGTCATTGGACAAAATTCTACGTGCTCGCAGACCGGGCTTTACATATTTTCACGCCGTGTCGCGTCCTGACCTGATGATAACTAAACTTCTTTCCCCAGGTATCCCCGAGCACACCGACGGCCTGGCCTTATCCACCACCACGGGTGGCGAGCCCTACCGACTCTACAACCTCGACGTGTTCGAGTACGAGCTGAACAGCCGCATGGCCATCTACGGCTCCGTGCCGGTGCTCTACGCGCACGGGTGAGTGGGACACGCGGGGGCCACGGGGGCCACAGTGGCCCCCCGTCTGTATAATCTAGACGTGTTCTAGTAAAGCCTGGTCCGTGAGCACGTAGAATTTTGTCCAATGACCCCAAGCTACCCATCCTTATCGCTCGCGCGTAATTATATTGCTGTCGCGACTGTGCGACGCGCGCCCGCAGTGAGTGTGCGAGCGCGACAGCAACATAATTACGCGCGAGCTTGGGGCCATTGGACAAAATTCTACGTGCTCACAGACCAGACTATAGACGTATTCGAATACGAGCTGAATAGCCGATTGGCCATCTACGGCTCCGTGCCGGTGCTCTACGCTCACGGGTGAGTGGGGGCCACGGGGGGCACGCAGGGTGAAGGGGGTCACATGGGGCACATAGGATGAATGGGGTCACGTGGGGTGATCGAGGAGCATGGGGGTATAGGTCGAACGGGGGCAATCGGGGGGCACGCGGGACAAAAAGGGGCCAGGAAGGACCACCGGCGGGGAGCCCTACCGGCTCTACAACCTCGACGTGTTCGAATACGAATTGAACAGCCGCATGGCCATCTATGGCTCCGTGCCGGTGCTCTACGCTCACGGGTGAGTGGGGACTAGAGATGAAAGGACTCGAGTCTTTTAGTCCTTTAAGTTAGGACTAGACTCGATTTTCAAGACTCGACTCCAAAAATACGACTCAAGACTCTTTACTAACTGAGGGAACTCCAGTCATTATAATAAGACTCGGAAAATTAAACGACTCGAGTTCTTTTATCACTAGTGGGGACACGCGGGGTGAACGGGGGACACTTAGGGTGATCGAGAGGCGGGGCGAAAAGGGGTCAGGACCCCCGGGGACCCCCGCCTGTATAATCTAGACGTGTTGGAATATGAGCGACAGCCGCATGGCCATCTACGGCGCCGTGCCGGTGCTCTACGCACACGGGTGAGTGGGCACGCGGGGGCCACGGGGGGCCAGGACCTCCGGCGGGCCCCCCGAACTGTATAACTTGCTCTAGAAGTCTAAACCAACCAGAGGAGTCAGCTAGACCTTCCGGGTCACTGGCCACGACTCGCTTTAAAAGTCTAGGAGGAGACATTTGTGATTGACGTCACAATAAAATACAGACACACACAAAAGTTGTGTTCAGCAAGACAGCCAAAATAAAATACCTTCGGCCATTTCAAAGGCTGACATTTTTTTGTTACAAGCAATTAACGCCCTTTAGGGCAATAATCTTCTGATCCTCTGATTAATTTATAGAAAAGAAATAATTTCTGAATAGTATCCACACCCGCGGTGAAACACATTTATTTAATCTTTAACGCTAATATATTTGGTACATGGACTTAATACCTTAAAGGTTTTTAGATCTGACAAAGTTTTTAAACCCACGTGTTTCCTTACAGAACGAAGCGAACTGTTGGCGTTTTCTGGCACAACTCTGCCGAGACGTGGGTGGACATCGTGAACTACGCCGACGAAACCGTAGTGTCTTCGCTCGTCAACCTCGTCACTGGTGGACATAAGCGCCGCGTCTCCTCTAGGTGAGTGTGCCACTTTGGTTAAACCTCCTCCCATCTTTCCTAGGTCTCTACGTCAACCTCTTAACAAATAAACGTCGCGTCTCTGAATGAGCGTGCCACTCCAGTAGGACCTCCTCTCACTTATGATGTTACTAGGTGTGCCATGTCATGACAAACCACCTGTCTTAGCCAACAAGCACCCCGTCCCTTCTACGTGAGTGTGCCACTGTTCCCAAACTTCCTCATGACTTTCCTAGCCCTATGTGAGTATGTAAATAAATAAATATCCTTGGACATTTTACACTGCGCCTCTAGTCCCAAACTAAGCAAAGCTTGTACTATGAGTACTAGACGACGGGATAAACATACTTAAATACTTTTTTTTTTTTGTAAATACATACATATTATACATAGAAAACACCCAGACCAGTCACAGAAATTAAAATTCATCATTTCAATTTCTGCCCGGCCGGGAATCGAACCCGGGACCTCTCGGTATAGTAGTCCGTTCTGAACCACTACACCAAACGGCCGACTAAGTCTACTATGTCATTGTAGCAAAAACCCCCCTCCTACTCTTGCCGCTAGGTGAGGTGTGTTAATGTAACAAACCTCCCCTTTCCCCTAGTAGCATCACTAGGAATATTGTTTCCCCTTCCCCTGAGACAGAGATATGTCTATATTTTAGATAAATCACTTTCCTTCCTTCCCTAGCCCAATAGGTGCCTTTTGTGCCTTCCTTCACTTGACACTAGGTAAATGGTGTAAATGTAGCAAACTTCTCTGCCGAGACGTGGGTGGACATTGTGAACTACGCCGACGAGACCGTCGTGTCTTCGCTCGTCAACCTTGTCACTGGTGGTCACAAGCGCCGCGTCTCCTCTAGGTGAGTGTGCCACTTTGGTTAGACCTCCTCTAGTGAGAGAAGGTGTTAAATGACCTACATACTCATCTCATAGTAGAAAAACTCCTTTATGCGCAAATTGTCAAGTTTTAAAAATGTCCAGTTGTTTAGGTTTAATAATAAAAGTCAAGTAATTAATTGGCAGAACTTTTAGTCATTATAATGTTAAGGTTTTTTTAAATAGGTATGAAACCATAAAACTGTAATAAAAAGACATTTTTAAAACTTGACATTTTGCGCATTTGACATTTTGCGAATTTGGCAGATTGCGATCGCTTGACAATTTGCGCATAAACGGAAAAACTTCAAAAAAAGGAGACTCATGTCAAGCTCCTCGTCTCCTCTTGGTGACTGTGCCGCTGTAGTGAGACCTCCTCCTATGATGGTGTAATGCCCGTTTTCACCATCAATCCTTAATTTTGACCCCTATGGTAACACATAACAGGCATTATGATGTCATAGGGGTCACTTTAAAATTAGGGATTGATGGTGAAAACGGGCATAAGATGACTCAACTGATCAACTCATATTGTAGCAGAACTTCCTTCACTTGGCACTGGGTATGGTTAGACCTCCTTCCATCTTTCCTAGGTTAATGTGTCATGCCATGTTTGTTACAGTTGCTTGAATACTAAAATGCTCCCTTGTTCCCAGGTTCATGTCGGAGTCTGGTCTGATCGACACCTTCATCATGATGGGAGACAAGCCTGCTGATGTCTTCCGTCAGTACACCAGGCTCACAGGCGCCGCTCCTCTACCGCCGGTGAGTTTTCATCATCATTTCAGCTATATGATGTCCACTACTGAACATATGTCTTTCCCAGTAAAGATACGCTAACCCCTAAAGTCAATGAATTTTCTATGCATTTAAGAAGTGATATGCTTATGCGTGTGTCAGGTCACACTATAAAATTTCGTCAATTGTCCAGTTTCTTTAAAATATTACACTGTAACCTTGTTGACTGACGCGACGGTGAAGGTTGCGGGAAAAGCCTAAATTCTTAGGGGTAACTTTTGTCCAGCAGTGACATTTGAAAAGAACGAAAGATTACGTTGCTCCACACAAATTGAATGGTAATTTAAATTCAAAAACCTAACTGGGCTGGCGCAGCGACCTAAAGCGAGTCTTGGCCTTCAACTATAAATCTCCATCCCGATCTATTAATAATCTATTCTGCGCCACCTGTCGCCAGTTATCGACGTGAAAATCGTGCAGGTCCTTACCGACTTAATCGTCCCAGCAGTACCTAGGAAGACCAACCGCTCGACGGAACTTGATCATCCCAAATACGGACATGATTTGTTTCTTATTGATACTGCAATTGACTATTACTAATAAGAAAGTGTATTGAAAATTTGACATGTAATGAACATTATAAATAAACTAGTGACCGCCCGCGACTTCGTACGCGTGGATCCCGTTTTACCCCCTTAGGGGTTGAATTTTGCAAAATCCCATCTTAGTGAGCACCTTCATTCTAAAAGGATCCCCCATGCTAAATTTGAGACTCCTAGCACTTGCAGTTTCTGAGATTTCATGATGAGTGAGTCAGTCAATCAGTGACCTTTCGCTTTTATAGATATAGATTTAACATGTCCTCTCTCCCCAGAAATTCTCTCTGGCGTACCACCAGTGCCGCTGGAACTACGTCGACGAGGCAGACGTGCGCGGAGTCGACGAGAACTTTGACGTCCACGACATACCAGCTGACGTCATCTGGCTGGATATCGAGTACACCGACCGCAAGAAGTGAGTATATACAGCAAAATAGTCTTCTTCACCACAAATAATTATGTACACACGGCTACACTGTTAACTATCCATTTCCGTTTTTGCTCTCGCTCTCATCAAAAGGCGATTCTTTGCGATAGAACGAGACGACATGACAGGCAATGGATAATTAACACTGTTGCCGATGGTACCTAGGTACACCAAGACCCTTCCACCATATTGTATATTCCACAGGTTTCCGTCTGAAAATGTCAACCGAATGAAATCAAGATTTCTCAAATTTTACGTGTGAAAAATTTAAAATAAATAAATAAAGCGTATAGCTTTATAACGTAATAAAGATTGGGGGAAAGAGTTTGACGTGTCCACAATCCACATAGTCGGACTTCTTGGCTTCATGTTAGCGGTTTTGTTTTATCTCCTCAAATTCGTGTTTGGGCGACTATTAATGTGTAATAATGGTGGATTATTAACCATTAAGTGTTCGTAAACGTGCATGAGTGTGGGCAAATGAATCAAAACAGTGCATCGTGATTCTTCGGGTTCTCTCAAGTAGTCCATATGAGGTCTCAGTAAAGCACCACAACTTTACTGAGACTCAAGGGGTGGGAAGGGGTATCATCTATCATCCTTCATTAAATCATTACTTTGTCTCATTTAGTAACTCGTCTCACTTTAAACTTGAAAATGGCACAAATCAAGTCGACCTCGACGTGTACTGCCAACATCATCAAAAAAGAAGAAGAAGAATCCACATAGTCCCTCATTCTCATCCTACGAGAAAGTTAGATAGAACTCACATCTTATGAGAGATTCAGGTCAATCTGATTGAGCCATGTCGGATGCTAAATCTTTTTTGTGAATGTTAAAGACTAGTTTTCACCTTCTTTTAGTATTATTAACGTCAATTACCGTTGTACAGGTACTTCACATGGGACGCGCAAAAATTCCCGCATCCAGCTGAAATGGTGGCCAATCTAACAGCCAAAGGACGCCGTCTGGTGGCCATCATCGACCCTCATATCAAACGTGAAGCTGGATATTTCCTGCACGAGGACGCTACTTCACAAGGACTCTACGTCAAGGACAAGGACGGCAAGGACTACGAAGGTACGTTAGGACTGGTAGGGTACACACGGCAAGGACTACGAGGGTACGTCACGAGGATTGGTAGGGTACACACGGCAAGGACTACGAAGGTACATTAGGACTGGGAGGGTACACACGACAAAGACCGTCTCATGGCCATCATCGACCCTCACATCAAGCGTGAAGCCGGATATTTCCTGCACGAAGACGCTACTTCGCAAGGCCTCTACGTTAAGGACAAGGACGGCAAGGACTACGAAGGTACGTTAGGACTGGAAGGGTACACACGGCAAGGGCCGTCTCATGGCCATCATCGACCTTCACATCAAGCGTGAAGCCGGATATTTCCTGGAGGACCAGGAGGGTACACACGGCAAGGGCTACGAAGGTACGTTAGGACTGGGAGGGTACACAAGGCAAGGACTAATACGAAGGTACGTAAATTATTTAGCTTAAGATTTAATTATATTAAATCCTTTAGCCATATTATGGCACTGACCTGGGAGGGTACACACGGCAAGGACTACGAAGGTACGTTAGGATTAGGAGGGTACATGTGGCAAGGGGCGCCGTTTGGTGGCCATCATCGACCCTCACATCAAGCGTGAAGCAGGATACTTCCTGCACGAAGACGCTACTTCACAAGGACTCTACGTTAAGGACAAGGACGGCAAGGACTACGAAGGTACGTTAGGACTGGGAGGGTACACACGGCAAGGGCTACGAAGGTACGTTAGGGCTGGGAGGGTACACATGTCAGCATCACATGTGGAACGTGGCATTAGGTTATGAAAAAAACCGCAATGGGAAAGAAATACTTACGAAGGCTGTTCACTAATTTGAGCTTCGCTCGCAGCCCTCAGCAACCCAATACCCTCATCCGAATAGAATTTAGGGAATCTCTGAAAGAAACGATCACATGAAATAACCACGTACTGGAATACGAAAAATATCAATCACGAAAAATAAATAAATTCTCCGACGGGAACTTACCTCATGTGTGTTATTTTTATTTATTCATCAAGAAATTATCGTGGATGCATTTTGCACCACCCGATTTGAAATAAAAGGAATTACATTCCCGAAAATAATCAAATTGCGGTTGCGCACGATCGACAAATTCCTAAGTCATTTGACAGCTCCACTGACAGCCGCTCTGTCATAGACATCGCGATACGTTTCGTTTCGCCGTTTGAAAAAGTAAATACTGTACTAATAAAACCATGATGAAAACAATTTCCAGAACACTGAAAATATTCTATTTGAAAAATAGAATAATCAATATAAAAACACTAGGAAATGTTTCATCAAAGTATATTTCAATTAACTGAGCAAAAAGCGCCATCTATTGCAAATTAATTCTAAATCACGCCAATAGATGTCGCTAGTGGTATCCAAAATCAGAATATTGAGAAGAAATATTAATTTGTGAAAAAACAGCAAACGGCAACGTTACAGAGGGTACACACGGCAAGGGCTACGAAGGTACATTAGGATTGGGAGGGTACACACGGCAAGGAGTACGAAGGTACGTTAGGACTGGGAGGGTACACGCGGCAAGGGCCGCCTCGGATCATCATCGACCCTCACATCAAGCGTGAAGCAGGCTACTTCTTGCACGAGGACGCCACCTCGCAAGGACTCTACGTTAAAGACAAGGACGGGAAAGACTACGAAGGTACGTTAGGATTGGGAGGGTACACACGGCAAGGACTACGAAGGTACGTCACTACAACTGGGAGGGTACACACGGCAAGGACTACGAAGGTACGTTAGGGCTGGGAGGGTACACACGGCAAGGACTAATACGATGGTACGTTAATTATTTAGCTTAAGATTTATTATATTAAATCCTTTAGCCATATTATGGCACTAGTTGTGCCCGCAACTTCGTACGCGTGAAAACCCGTTTTCGCAACATTTTTCATTGTTGCTCTGCTCCTATTGATCGTAGCGTGGTGTCATATATTAATTAGGGTTCCGTACCTCAAAAGGAAAAAACGGAACCCTTATAGGATCACTTTGTTGTCCGTCCGTCCGTCTGTCAAGACCCTTTTTCTCAGGAACGCGTGGAGGTATGAAGCTGAAATTTATATCAATTACTCAGGTCTACTGTCCCTTGAAGCTGTGAAAAAATCAAACTTCTAAGCCAACGCAATCAAAAGATACAGCCGTTTATGCCGCAAATTTTCGACACTTGCAAGGGAATCAAAACCTACAGGGTGCTTCCCGTGAACTCAGAATCTTGAAATTTGGTACGAAGCAACGTCTTATAGCATAGATAAAGGAAAAATTACGAAAACCATACATTTTTAGTTACATCACATAATATATATTTTTTTAATAATTTTAAACTTACTACCCATTTCCTCATAAACGCGTAGAGGTATTAAATTGAAATTCATACCAAATACTCAGGTCTATAATACCTTTAAGTTGTAACAAAATCAAACTTCTATGTCAACGCAATCAAAAGAAACAGCAATTTAAGCTGCATATTTTGAAACTCGCAAGTACTCGCAAGGGAATCAAAACCTAAAGGGTACTTCCAGTCGACCTAGAATCTTGAAATTTGGCATGAAGCAACGTTATATAGCACACATGAAGGAAAAATTCCGAAAACCTTAAATTTTTAGTTACATTACAAAATATATATTTTTTAATAAATATAAACTTATGAATTTAATTTTGCAATATATACCATAGTTATGACTCGATTGTCGTAATGAACGAACTTTGTAAACCTTGCAGGTTTGTACGGAACCCTCGGTGAGCGAGTCCGACTCGCACTTGGCCGGTTTTTTTTTTTCAAATCGGACCAGTAGTTCCGGAGATTAGCACGTTCAAGTAAACAAACAAACAAACTCTTCAGCTTTATAATATTAGTATAGATTAAGTTCGCCTTATGTACAGTCGCAGAATGAAAAGGTTCGTCACCTTAGTGTCGGTTTTCGCTTGCACTAGGTGCTGTAAGAGTCAAACCTGCCAACATAACAGTGCAAGAAACAGTGCTGCTAACATTTAAATAAATATGACGTTTGCTAACAAATAAGGTTTTGCTTGTTTATTTTTCTATCCCATCAGTGCAATGCAATGATGACATTGACCAATTGACAATAGTTTTTTTATATTTAATAGAAATAATAATGGCAGGTTGAACCAACAAGAAGGTTTTAGTTTATCAATCATAATAATCTTCTTGACAAGATAAATCGTCAAACAACTTTGATCTGAATAATTTTGAACTTTACCGACGAACAGTTAAAGATTATTTTCTCTAACTCGAGGTTATTCTGTAACATAGTTTCAAAAGGTAATATGTGCTCGCGATTCGTTGAAGGAATCAATTTGTAAACTGACGAACCTTTTCATTCCGTGACTGTACATTAATTTGTGTAAGTTTTAAATACAAATGTCACTATGCTTGTCTCCAGGCTGGTGCTGGCCCGGCTCCTCATCGTACCTGGACTTCCTGAACCCGGAGGTCAGCAAGTATTATTCCGAGCGATTCCGCTTCGAGAACTTCCCCGGAACGTCCAAGGATGTGCACATTTGGAACGACATGAACGAGCCTAGCGTGAGTATTATATGATATGATGTACTATAATCCGGTCGCCGAGCACGTAGAATTTTGTCCAATGACCCCAAGCTACCCATCCTTATTGCTCGCGTGTAATTATGTTGCTGTCGCGCTCGCACACTCACTGCGGGCGCCCGTCGCACAGTCACGACAGCAATATAATAACGCGCGAGCGATAAGGATAGGTAGCTTGGTTGGGGTCATTGGACGATTTTCTACGTGCTTGGCGACCAGACTTTAGTACTAGCAGCCGCCCGCGACTTCGTAGGCGTGGATCCCGTTTGGGCTTGAATTTTGCAAAATCCCGTCTTAGTGAGCACCTACGTTCTAGAAGGAACCCCCATGCAAAATTTGAGACTAGGAGTCAGCACTTGTAGTTTCTGAGATTTCGTGATTGCTGCTCTATGTGTGGTTCTTGCTCTGTAAAGGAATATTAACTTTATGATTAAATAAAAAACAATCTATACTACTATTATAGTTGCGAAAGTAACTCTGTCTGTCTGTGTCTCTTTCACGCTTAAACCACTGAACCTAGTTTGATGAAATTTGGCATAGAGATAGTTTGAATCCCGGGAAAGGACATAGGATAGTTTTATCCCGGTTTTTGAAACAGGGACGCGCGCGATAAAGTTTTTCTGTGACAGACAACATATCAGCCGGCGCTGAGAACACATAGGGGCGGTTAAAATTTTATTTTAATTTTATTTAGGTTAACAAACAAATGATGCTGAATTATGATGATGATGACGTGATATTTCCCGGCAGGTGTTCAACGGGCCTGAGATCACCATGCCGAAGGACTGCCGTCACTACCGCGAGCACGATGAAGATGCACAAGGCTTGCACACATTCTGGGAACACAGGTGAGCGAGTCAACAGTGTTAACACTGTCGAAATAATCTTTGGCTACCTAAATAAATCTGGTCGCGGGAGGTGCCTGGATGCGAGCGGCGCAGGATCGGTCTTCGTGGTAATCCTTGGGGGAGGCCTTTGTCCAGCAGTGGACGTCTTTCTGCTGAAACGAACGAACCTAAATTAAGGCGTAATATCCTTTGTCTGAGTAGTATAGTGTCGAAGTAATGTCGATATTCAGTAGTGTCGGAGTAACGTAATGTCGAAGTCTTTGTCTGAGTTTATTTAGGTAGCCATAATCTTTATCACACTTTTGGTTTTTAGCAAAATCGACCCTCTTATCCTACTAATATTATAAATGCGAAAGCTTTTGGATGTCTGGATGGATGTTTGTTACTCTTTCACGCAAAAATTACTGAACGGATTTTGTTGAAACTTTACAGTATTATTTTTTATAACCAAGATTAACATTAGGCTATAATTTATGATGATATGTGACAAACAATTTTCAATAAATTAATAAGACGTGTCTAAAAAGCGCCATCTATCATTTTTGGTTAAAATCTACAGCGTTGGACAAACTACTGTTTTTGACGTTCGTAAATATTCATGCGGGGGAAGCCGTTAAACGCCACCTGTCAACATGATATCAAACAACAGATTTTACGAGCTAAGTGGTGAAACGAGGTCCTCGCGTACGAAGTCGCGGGCGGCCGGTAGTTACTTATAATGCATGAAACACATTCCATTCCAGACACATCCACAACGAGTACGGATTATTCCACATTCGTGCGACACACCAGGGCATGTTGGACCGCAGCGACGGCAAGTACCGGCCCTTCATCCTCACCCGCGCTGTCTTCGCCGGCACTCAGAGGTAAGCAATGCTACATTAATGATTAATTAATACTTTTCACCAATAGGGTCTTACACCTTTTTTTGAAATATGTTGTAAATCAATCCTAAGGTTATTATAATGAACCAGTGGAATTTTAATTTTTAAAAGCTTATAAATGACTTTAAAAACTTGAATGTAAGAGTAAGCGCACACCGTTGATTTTTAGTTGGCCGATAGTTGTGCCCGATTTTAATTTGCATGAAGAATCGGCCAAATCGAATCGGCGTAGTGTGCGCACTCCCATACATGCCCATACTGATCAACTGCCCGACTAAACTATCGGCCGACGAAAAATCAACGGTGTGCGCCTACTTTAAGCCGTCAGGTAACGTTGCCACCTTTCGTCCAGGTACGCGGCAGTATGGACGGGCGACAACGCGGCCGAATGGGGCTTCCTGGTGGCGTCGGTTCCCATGTGCTTGTCGCTGGGCGTGGCCGGCGTCAGCTTCTGCGGCTCCGACGTCGGCGGCTTCTTCCAGTACCCTGAAGCCGAGCTCATGACGCGCTGGTACCAGGTCAGTACCCGCAGCCCGAGCTGATGACGCGCTGGTACCAGGTCAGTACCCGCAGCCCGAGCTGATGACGCGCTGGTACCAGGTCAGTACCCGCAGCCCGAGCTGATGACGCGCTGGTACCAGGTCAGTACCCGCAGCCCGAGCTCGTGACGCACTGGTACCAGGTCAGTACCCGCAGGCCGAGCTCGTGACGCGCTGGTACCAGGTCAAGAGATAGATTGTCCTTCGAGCCGGATTGGAATTTGAACCAATAGATATAAGGAAAGGCACTGGATATTTTGATAATACCGATGCTAGAGTTCTTTGCTCATGTAATCTACAGTGTCAAGCATATTCTGACACATTTGGTCCTTCGAGCCAGATTTGAATAAAAAATGTGCCATGGCAAGATAATCATTGTAACGTGATAAGCTGTATAACTTTTCTTAAACGTCAATTAACGTTTGTTTTGCCCTAACTTCAAACTCCTACTAAGTTCTTCTGATCAATTTCGTTGCGGATTCAATGACAGTTTAACTATCGCCCTGGACAATCGACAAACTTGACCTTCAATGGTTGGGTTTTATTGGCGGTCAAGCTGTAGGTCCTGGCTACACAGGAGTTGCAGCGGTGGGAATAAGAGTTGAGAATAATCCCGTGCTAAGAAAGAAAGAAAAATCTTTATTTGACAACATAAATAATAAATACATTCTTAACATTATAATAAATAACAAACATTACATCAAAAGGAGAAACAGAGAAAGAAAGAAAAAGAAAAATAATAATAATGTTGTCAAAAAGGTCACCCACTCAGTAACGTCTTGGCCCGTCTGCCAAGACACTGATTTTCAGTGGGCGTCTTTTAAGCTAAGCTGTATATTGTATTTGTCGGCCGTTTGGTGTAGTGGTTTCGATACGGACTACTATGCCGAGAGGTCCCGGGTTCGATTCCCGGCCGGGCAGAAATTGAAATGATGAATTTTAATTTCTGTGATGGGTCTGGGTGTTACTATGTATAATATGTATGTATTTACAAAAATAAAATATTTAAGTATGTCTATATCCGTTGTCTAGTACCCATAGTACAAGCTTTGCTTAGTTTGGGACTAGAAGCGTAGTGTAAAATGTCCAAGGATATTTATTTATTTATATTCTGTTCTGCAGGCGGGTGCCTACCAACCGTTCTTCCGAGCGCACTCTCACATCGAGACCAAACGCCGCGAGCCCTGGCTATATGAACCTGCCACTACTGCGCTCTTACGAGACGCTACTAGGCGCCGATACGCACTGCTCGACTTCTGGTAACGTATAAATAACTATTTATTTGAAAGTTTGAAACTAAGTGACTTTATTTAGTACTGCGAGGTTGTTGGTATTTTTTTACAAATCTTCGTATAGCACCTAGTTTTTGTGAATATCGATCTTTCACAGAAATATTTTATCGCGTGCGTCCACCTTTCAAAAACTGGAGTAAAAACTATCCTGTCCTTACTTGACATATTATAATATCGTACTTAAACATTCATGATACCATTTTATCTATTGGTGCATAAAAACACAAGAGACCAAGACCACGACCTTTACCTACTTGACTTTAGCGATACATAAACATTAGGCTAGTTTCCTAATAAAACTTAGTCCTTCAATTATTACAAAAAAATATTGGACGCGTATATTTTGATTTGTTAATCAAACAAGTAATTACGAAGTTATGGTGCGATGAAGGTCCGCGTGACGTCAAAAATGCTACACTTTTTACAAGCTTTGACGTCACGTGCCTCATCTTCTTTTGAACTTTGGCGCGCGAAAGAGATAATCTTTGAATTTTCATTAGTTTCGACTATTTTTTCATAAGTTAACTAACGAACTAACTCAAATTCTTGCTTTTTTATCCAGGAAAGTCAAGATTTTACTATTTCATAATCAGTCTCATGTTGCTCTGCCATGTTTTCCTAATAAATGAAACAAATGCCAGGTACACCCTATTCTACGAGCACACACGTGACGGTCTGCCGGTGATGAGGCCGCTATTCCAGGAGTACCCTCAGGAAGAGGCTACCTTCACCATCGATGACACTTATCTGCTGGGTAAGACCATCTTATCAAATTATACAGGGTCAGTCAAGTACCGACGACCTCATAAAGGTAGCAGGAAGGCGCTGCATGCAGGCCGCTACCAACCGGGCGATGTGGAAATCATTGGTGGAGGCACATGTTCAGCATGGACGTCCTGTGGCTGAAATGATAATGAGTCAAGTACAATAGATCAAATAAATAATTACACTCGATTCTTAACTTTGAACTCCTATGTTCTTCCGCTTAATTTCGTTGCGGGTTCAATAATAGTTATTTAATCTTCCACCTGCACAAAATTGACTGTCACTGTATCATTCATTATACAGGTTGTCACAGAAACTAGGGACACTCAGATGTATAAAGTATTTAAACAAATAAATAATTGAGTACAATGTGAAAGTTCTCTTTCAATTAAAACATTTGAAATAAACACAAAGTAATTGTATTTTATCTGCTGTTTATATCTGAGTACATAATTTGTAAAGCTAGGCCGAGACAGGTGTAATGTGTAATGTAATCCACCGTGTAATGTAACACGAATTCTACGTGTGGACGGCACTACGAGCATTACATGTAAAGTGCGTAACCGTCTTAGTCTTAAGTTTCTTTTATAATATTCAGTATTTACTAAAAGGCTTATTTATTTATATAATGTACTCTTTCTCAGAGATAAAATAAACGTATGTGTTGCTCTGTAAACTAAAAGATTTATTCAATATTAATACATTTCTCATTGAAATAAATTCCTCATTCATTGGCTATAAATAACACAAACCTGTAAAATAAAAGATACGACATTTAAAGTTTATTATTATTTCTTAAAATATCTTCATATTTTCCACAATGACTTTTCACTGTGACATTCCTCTGATAGACATCAAAGTCATAGATAAACCATAGACCTTAAAGTAAAAAGTATTTACTTTACATTTATTATAAAAAATAATGTCACCTCCAGGCAACAAGCTCCTCGTCCGTCCAGTCACAGCCGCGGGCGCGACCACTGTGCAAGTTTACTTACCAGGAGCTGAATCCCACACCATCTGGTACGACGTGGACTCGTACCAGGCGCACAAGGCTAACGGGTACTTTACGCAGGAAGTTAATATCGCTAAGGTCAGTGTTTATAAGTTTTGGTGTATTTTTTTGTTTTTTCTAACCTTTACTTTAAGTAAATAAATAAAAACGATTGCAATCATTGTAAACGATTTTTTAATAAGAGTCCACGGACATTACTTGCCTGGCTCGCGTAATAAATATAAAATAATTTAATTATAACTACCTAACTTGTAAATATTTACTATTTAATGAGGGCTATCGTTTTAGCGCTCACCAGTTGGCGCCACTGTAGAGTAAGGTCCTGTCACTTGCTAGTAGCGAAGACAGTGGCACCAACTGGTGAGCGCGAAAGTGGTAGGAGGACTATCGTATTTGCACTCATCAAGATGGCGCCACTGTAGAGTAAGGTCCTGTCAAACAGGGGTGCCAACTGTTAAGTATAAAAACGATAGCCCTCATTGTAACGCTTGCAATATAGCCGTTGGTCCTCTTTTCTAACGTTAATTTTCACAACCGTGATGTCAACGTTATAGTTCTGTGATAGATTCAAATAAGATGTTAGTAACTAGTCAGGCAGACTTACAACTTGATGAATTTGTCCATATGCCCTGGACCTCACTGGGAGTCGAAGCTGGGGCATACATTATGATGAATAAATTATTTTCCCACCAGATCCCGGTATACCAGCGAGGAGGCAGTATAGTCCCGCGCAAGGAGCGCGTGCGGCGATCGTCCGCGCTCATGGCAAACGACCCTTATACGCTCGTCATTGCGCTTGACGCTAATGTGAGTTAAACATCATTTTTAGCTCGGTATAAGGTAGTGGGAAAATATTTCCCACCAAATTTTGAACTTTATTTCCTTGTCTGAAAGTCCAAATCCAATGAAAAATTTAGACTTGCGACACTGTCACTTTTGTAAAAAATGCAATATGAGTTAAATATCCAAAAATGACCCTAAAGCAGAGCTGACGGCCGATGGTGCAGAAAGGTTCTGGAATGGAGGCCGCGTACCGGAAAACGCAGCGTGGGACGTCCACCTACAAGGTGGACCGACGACATCGTAAAGGTAGCAGGGAAGCGCTGGACGCAGGCCGCTACCAATCGATCAACGTGGAAAGCATTGGGGGAGGCCTATGTTCAGCAGTGGACGTCCTATGGCTGAAATGATGATGATGATGATGACCCTAAAGCACCCCTTTACTTGGTGCGATAACGATACTTTTGTAGTACGCATAGTTTCGGTACGTTGTAGTATATGCTGTTCATCTCATCTATATTCTTAAATCATTATTTTTGTGAGGTGTCAAAGTTTTAAAGGCTTCTCCTGAAAAATTTCCGTTTTTTATACACACACCAAGATAAACATCGTATCTAAGACCTATTTTGCAACAAATATCTAATACGCTATGCTATCGTTTGCGATGGACTTACAAATAACTACAACCATTGTCTTATTTACATTTCCAGAACACAGCGGAGGGTACCCTGTACATAGACGACGGAGAAACGTTCGAGTACAAGAAACAGAAGTACATTTACGCCAAGATCACGTACACGAAAGACGCGATTACGTACAGGTATGTATTTAATAAGTATTTTAAAAATTTTATTTGTACGGGGTATGAAAACTATGCAATCTGTTCTATCCGCTCCACTAAAAATACTAGGGTAGATGATACTTGATCTGTCCCATTCTCCGTGTTATACGATGTGGTTGATGAATCAATTTTTCTAAACTTCCAGCTTATCCCAACTAATATTATAAATGCGAAAGTAACTCTGTCTGTCTGTCTGTCTGTTACGCTTTCCCGCTTAAACCTCGCAACCGATTTTGATGAAATTTGGCATAGAGATAGTTTGAGTCCCGGGAAAGAACATAGGATAGTTTTTATCCCGGTTTTTGAAACAGGGACGCGCGCGATAAAGTTTTTCTGTGACAGACAAAATTCCACGCGGGCGGAAAGCTAGTTCACTATAAAAATATAAGCAATGCAATGCTAATAGCATAGTTATTACTTAGGGCTACTCATCTAAGTAGTAACTATGCTATTGGCATTGATTTTATAACATCGTAGTTGTTAGAGTTTTGTATTCTCTCATCTGTGAAGAATCCCGAGTTCAACCTTGTGCGTTTTAAAAGTTCGTCTAATGGGAAGATAAATACTTTTTCTTTTTTGTAAACACATGCATATTATAAAGGATTTTTCTAAATTACCAAGTTATATTGACACCGATGACAGCTCGAACGAGCCTAATATGTCTGTAGAAAAGTCATGAAATTTGAGATATGACTAATTTTCAACCGACTTCAAAAAAGGAGGAGGTTCTCAATTCGACCCGTATGTTTTTTTTTTTCTATGTTTGTTACGCGATAACTCCGCCAATTATGAACCGATTTGAACAAATCTTTTTTCTGCGTATAGGTAATACCTCAAGGGTGGTCCCATTTAAATTTAATAATAGAAAAAACAACCCCCAAGGGTGGAAAATTGGGGATGAACTTTTTTATACCCAATATTTTCAATTTTTAGTTTTTTTTTTGTGTTCACGCATTTGAAGTCGGTTTTTGTTNCTGTCGTCGAAAATATTGTTTGTAGGTCAGACGTGAATTATTTCTTGTCCGCCAATATTTAGCTCTCATTGATCGCTACTACAAAGTTATGTCGTTACTTTTGATGGCAGCTGTCATTCTAATCAAGCTATATTGGATAGACTATAGTTACCTTTAAAGATAGGTGGTGCAACCCACCCCTGCTATTCCAAATGACCATGACATTGGGTTTGTTTACATTACATTTGGTATCGCTTCTCGTTGGCCGTACTTTAAAGTGGAAACTTGTGGTTAATAGATTTTTTGTCACCATCATCCACTTTTTACTGGAAGAAAGTAATTCTTTAACTATTAATTCCTACTTTGTTCTTCTGATTAATTTCGTTGCGGGTCCAATGACAGTTAACTGTGAAAAAATATGACCTTCATGACCTTCTTTGGTTGGGGTTTTATTGGCGGTCAAGCTAATGAAAATAAGCCTTTACTTAATTTGATTATTTCCAGATAGGTTGTACCATCTTACTATGACTATGACAAGCGTCAAACTCCATACAAAAACAACGGTTATTGTTACGGTTAAAGTAAGGTGGTAACTCAGCCCAATTGTTTTCATGGCAACTAAAACTAACTTACCTTTCTTTCTATCCCCAGCATGATCAACGAAAAAGCCGTCTACCCCACCAAATCGTGGGTAGAACGCATCGTCATATGCGGCGCGCGATCGCCACCAGCCTCCGCTCGGCTCCACCAGGCCGGGTCATCCGTGGCACTGCCCATGACGCTACACAAAGGGAACGATGTCCTGGTCATAAGGAAGCCCGGGGCTGCCATGGCCCAGCCCTGGACTATACGGTTCAGTTATTGAGAGAATATAAGGGAGCCCAGGGCGTGAGAAAAATTGAAAGGCGATTGGATCTCAAGCTACTCAGTGTGATCACCATGAGTTTACGTTAAATGTGCATGAGTTTACGTTAAATATGCTCGCTAGCGACTGCGTAAAAAAATACATTAAATGTATGACAAATTGTACAGCGCTCTAGCGGCTACTTTCTGGAACTATACACCACTAAATTATTATCACCGAAAAAAATTTCTCGGTAATGAATTATTGATACTGATCCTATTTATGCAAAAAAAAAGTTAAATAAAGTTACTCAAAATTTCATCCTAAAATTGGTAATTCTTTATGGACACACTCGTCTCTAGCACTATTTACGTAAGATAATGTAACACTTAATAGAACTTAACATTGTCTAAGTTAGCTAAGTATGTAATAATAACACTGGAAACGTATTCGAGGCGTGAGCGAGACAGACAGATCGGGGCAATGTGCCAGCGCGTACGACTACTCTAGCGAGCAGCGGAGTGACCCGGCTGTGACCCGTAAAATACGGACTAAAGAAAATTGAATAAAAAAAATAACTTTATGAAAAACATTAATTTTTCTTTTGCTTTCAAAATCAAAAATCAAAATCATTTATTCAGTTTAGACCACAAGTGGCACTTATAAATTTTTATTTAAATTTTTCACACGTTTCTACATAACCTGTTAAAATTTTTTCGGTGATAAAAATGTAGTGGTGTATTTTTTTTTTATGCACTCGCTAGTGTGCACACCTAACGTAAACTCATGGTAAGCACACTGGTCTGTGATCGGTTGAGTTTGGCACCATAACCTTGGACAATGTTGCGAACTGACAGCTTTGTTATTTCGAAAATACTTCCCCATCAAGCACTTGGGGTTAGCTATGCCGTTTTTTCGATCCGTAAAGTGATTTCGAAATTAAAATTGTCCACGCCCCATGATGTAGAAATTAAGACAGTCGCTTTTTACTCGAAATTCCCGCGGTCCTCTAGAAAAATCACGAGTCGCTACTCCGAAACGCTGTTTACGTAGTTTCGGATCTATCTGTCACCGTTGCTCACACTGGCATTTCGCTTTGCGTGAGAGGGATGGCAACATTCGACACTTCAGATAACGTTTTTCGAAGTAACCCCACAGATGTTAGTGTCGGAACTTTTTTAATAAGCCCGCTAAAAACGCAATCATGTAACTTGAAAAAATTAAAGATCTATGCTTGAGTTCCAATCGATGTTTAAGCTTCCCGATACGGCCCTGAGGCTACTTCTCTTTAAAAAGTCGCGTTGGACGCTTTTCTAAACCCTTTGGTTACAGTCAACACTCAATTCTACCACAAAATAGTAACAGAAGGCAATCTGTATGCATACACACACAGACGCGTCTGAAGCGGGCGGTATTCGCGCTCGCATTGGTTTAGACTGGTTTGACGCGTCTCAAACGGGCTACATTCGCCCTAGCACTGGTTTAGACTGATTTGACGCGTCTCAGACGGGCGGCATTCGCGCTCGCACTGGTTTAGACTGGTTTGCGATTATTGGCGATATCGTGTGCGTTGCCCGAACGCTTTGTATGTAGATTGTCTTCTGCTCCTATTTTGTGATTATACTGAAACCACTCTATTCACCTTTTTAATTGTACACCTAATGAACCCCAAGTCATATTAGATACAATCTTAGATTATTAATTTTATAACCTTTGTGGTGTAAATCTAGATGTCTTTGGCCTGTGACTACAGAATATTCACGTTGTAATAAAGAATTGAGGCTAGAAAATGTGTGTACTTATACAGACACACCCTGTATAGTCCACTTTATGCCACATATTTGACAAAAGTAACACATACATGGAACATTAAGCTATTGATGTGTATTCATTTTTTATGTATTATCTATTTATTATTCTAAACAATAGCACTTAGCTATTTTCTTAAATTGACAAACAGTATCATAAATCAGTGATGTAGTCCAGGGATGTTATGGATATCCGTAACCGTAACCGAAACTTCCGGATATCCGAAATTAAAAAATATCCGTAACCATAACCTTAGTAAGATAGAAAGGACGTAAGATTCAAAGGTTTCGAATAGTTTTCGGATGTAGGCAGAGTCAAGCAAGTTCCTACGCTGATTTAATGATTCCATTTTGAAGTACATGAGTTTTTTCCCATTAGATAAAACCGTAACCGAAACTTTCGGATATCCGAAATAAAAAAATATCCGTAACCGGTATAATTTACAATTTATTTATTCATGAATAGAACGGTAGTACCAATTACACTATTCAAACAAGACGTAACAAAGTTATTCCAATATCCGTAACAGTATCCATAACCGAACCTACATATCCATAACATCCCTAATGTAGTCCTACTTCTAGTGTAAATAATTGAATATGATAGTACACGATTTTAAGCTTATCTAATAGTTCATTATGTAACCCTAACACTGACTATGTATTAATATACATAATATGACTTATAGGTTTTGCGTTTAACTAAGTCAGTGCTTGAGGGCACGGGAGGTTGTTTTTGTAACATCCAACGTCAGCGAGACTTCAGTGTGCCTACCATGAGTTTACACTAGGTGAGCTCGCTAGCGAATACGTCAAAAAATTCTATGAAGATTTTATTTCTTGAAAGTAGCCGCTAGGGGCGCTGCACAATATGTCATACATTTAAATGTCATTTTTTTACGCAGTCGCTAGCGAGCACACCTAACGTAAACTCATGGTAGGCACACAGATCTGCAGATTTGTATGGTTGGGGTGACATTAACGTCACACCACCCGTTCGCGCTAAGTTTGCCGGTCCGTTGAATGCGCGTCCCTCCCCCAACTGCGATTAAACGCAGTTAGATAGTGATTAACGCAATTAATGTGTCTTATTTTACGCAAATACACATTTTTTATCAATATTAATTAATAAAAAATATTTTCAATATAGTTTGCTATAGTTATAGACACTTATCTTCGAGTGACGTCATATCGCCAGCGGCAAACTTATCGCGAACGGATAGTATGTCAATGTCACCTCTCCCGTGCCGCTACCATACCTTAGAAAGAAAGAAAGAAAGAAAAAAACATTAAACAAACCTTAGGCACTGAGTTAAGTGCTCGCCCTATAGTACATAACATGTTTGTACGCAATAGTGGTACCTACTTAAGATTTAGTCTTTCGGATTGAAAATATGTCTTTTGGAGTCCCATTCAAGTGTTCTATGCAATAAATAGTAGATTTGAGTATAAAAACGTAGGAATTAATACTCTATGCATAACCTCTGATACAGTATGTAGAAAAAACGAACCGATTCTAAAAATCCGTTAAGGCATTCGTATCAAATCTGTTTAATATAATCACATTTTGGCAGTAGCTATTTTGGTTTGAAAAGAGTGGCATTTCTGTATCTAAACTATTCGTTAGTCTTTGGTAATACGAATGACAGAGGCGACATTTTTAATATTAGATTAGACCCTTTTTTACCTAAGTATCTATTATTCGGTAAAAGTGTTTGTATTCCTTGACGGGCACATTATTTAATAATCAAAGAAAGATTTGGGAGTTTAAAGTTCGGTCGGCGAGCACATAGAATTTCGTCCAATGACCCTACCCATCCTTATTTGCAGCCGCCGCGCACGTCGCACAGTCGCGACAGCAATATAATTACGCGCGAGCGAAAAGGATGGGTAGCTTGGGGTCATTGGACGAAATTTTATCTGCTCGGCGACCGGACTTTAGTAATAATGAAATTTACGAGTTACCTAAAGATAACTCTTGGTAAAAGGTATATCAAGTCATAGACTGAAAGTCAGCGTTCAATGTTTATTGATGAAACTAAGATGATTTTAAAACCACTGACACGAATATTTTGTAATATTTATGAAATACTAGGTGATTTACCTAGCTATGTTGTCAGGCATCTAAAAACAATAAATATTGTTATGAGAAAGCAATTTTGCTTGCAAGTTTTTCTAACTAAACCCATTTGTAATATGTATTTTGAACTCAACGTGTTTGATTTAGAATTCAAAATGTAACTGTTTCATCAAATACTAACTTTTTAGCATGTTGATTTCTAAACAGGCACTTTGGGTAGTGAGATCGGACGGGTAAATGACGATGGAGTGTTATGTATGTATGTGATAATAAACAACATTTGAATATTCACTCGTTTTATTTCGACAACGCATAATAAATTGTTTTGTTAATCTGTAATTTTTTGAGGTTTACACACAACCTTAATCATTGTTTAAACTGAAAAAAGAACAACAAACTGTAGTTGTTTTAATCTAGAGTTAAGCTAATTGAAGATGGAGAATAGTGGAATTTCATTATACAAATTAGAACTGTTAGATGGAATGAAAAAAACTGTTAGTAAGCTACTTGCACTTTAAAATTAATTTATATGAATCAAAATTACAGATTAATAAAACTTATCCCCAACATCTAACCTCATAAACGCAAGGGAACCTACACATTGGCAGAATCATGACAAAACAAGTTGCCTCTTTACAAATAACTTTATATATTTTATTTGTATGAAAAAAGCCACCAATGTGAAAATTTCCCTTACACGTACACTGCCAAAACAAAACAATATCAGGCACTGAGAATAACAGCTAAACATTAACAACTACATGTGTTATATCAATGACAAGTGGAGGAATAATATTAATGTGAACACAACGAAAAATACAAGAAAAATCACTCAAATTGAACATTGAGCCCTCGATTATTACAGTTCTTGTAAATAAATAACACAATTTGAAATCTGAATTTAAATATTCATCATAATTTTCACAATATTGCACTTCCCTTAAGTAGGATTAATCAAAATCGATGTTAAATTCTTACAGATTTAAGTACATAGAGGTGGTGCACTAAAAATGACGCTTAATTTTCACGAAAACGGCGAAAAACTGCGGTCAAATAAAAAAAGAAATAATAAAAATATATAAAAAAAGTTTCCAACATACAGCTGAATTTTCGAACGCATATTGTATAAAATTGAGACTAAGAAAAGTTTTGACGATGATTATTATGGAGTTAGGTTTAGAAAATATTAAAATTTTCGAAAAAGCCAAAAATGCTTTTTTTTTCTCTCATCTGATTTATAGGGGTGGGGTCTACGGGGAGGGGGCAAATTTGACGTTATTTTTGCGCTAGGACGTACCGTTTTCGAGATACGAGCGATTTAAGGTCATAGGTGATCCGTCTCCTCGTTTGCCTCCTGTCACATAAAAAAAAAGCATAGCACCATACCAACGCGTGCGCGATGATGATGGCGATATTGGCGATAGTAAAAATCAGTAGAATCGACATCGCGCACGCGGGCTGATCGCGTTGGTTTGGTCGAACTTCAGAGTCCCAACTCCATACAAAATGCGTTCGAAAATTCGGCTTCGTCCCGCACCATCTTTACAACATGTACACTAGATACGTAGTCTTTCAAACTGATTAATTTATCATTTATTTAAAAGAATTGTAATATTATATTTTGAGGCACAACAGTGACTTTCACTGGAAAACGCGCTTTGTGAGTGTGACTAAAGGCATTTAAAAAAAATGCAAAAAAAAATCCAAATACTTCTGCGGGTAAAAACAGGATTGCAAACAGACAATATCCGTCCCGTTTCTTGATAGAAAATCCCATATTAATTCAGTGACAAGGTCACCCTGTTTTTATAGTCCAGTCTTTTATTCGAGTCAATCAAATGATACCTAATAGTCGAACGCTATTGGATATTAAACCTGGGCCCCGATTACGCTAAAAATTTTCATCTTCAACGTGCCCGGACGTCAGCTGTTTTGACAAATCCGTATCGCAGAATCCAAGAAATCGAAGAACCGCGTCTGTATTGGAGACGTTAAAAATTAGCGTAATCGGGGCACAGGTCCCCGATTGCGCTAATATGTAATGACTCCAATTCATTCGCGTTTCAACTCCAGTCACGCGCGACCTGCGCTCCAATATCATGCCAGCTAATCTACAATTCGATATCTTTTCATTTAAAGTCCTAACACCTTATTTTTTATACATAGCAAATGTTAGTGAAGCGTTTGAATTGCGTTTGAGAATAAGTAGCTTTCTGTCAGCTTTAACGTAAGCGCAGTTGCGCTCTGTTAACGTTTCAGCTTCGTTTAAACTAGCTGTCAAAACGATACCGCAATACGGATTTGTCAAAAAGTTGATTTTCGTTCGACGTCCAATCGCGTTACAATTGAATTTTTTTAGCGCAATCGGGGGCAATGGAACCCATTGTAGAAAAAATATTCGCTCTGAAAAGAAGAAAAAATACGCGTGTGGTGTGCAAAAGCAAGTTACACCATATTATTGACAACATTAAGTAGACCTTCGCGCGCCTAGCATATGACGTGATATCCATCCATCTAAAACTTTCCATATTGAATAGACACCTGTGTAATTATGTACACAGCTTTTATATTAATTATAATTCAATATGTTTATGTTAATTATAACATTTTTAAAGTAGAGACTTAATTAGCTTTTAGGCTTCAATTTACAGACTCGAATTAAAAACTGGACGATAGACATTATACAGCTTAAAAGTAACAAGATTTAGACTAGACTGCCGATACAATACGAAGCTGCATATTACTTTATATCTAACTATAGTCAAATCACAGGCAACCTTAATGGTTTCAAATATCCCTCTCTCCCAAGACAATATTGCACGCCTATTGGCAAAAGAAAATAAAAAAAATCTGGTTTAAAACCATTTGCACCCTTTAGAATAGTAAAAACTTTATATAAAACAAACATTTTTACATATTAGTGGGTTTATGAAAAACCGAATGTGGATAGAAAAAACTTTATATAAAAGTAATAGTTACATTTTAGTACATACTGGGTTTATGAAACACCGAACGTACATAGAATCGCTTGTAATATTGCATCTTGTTACGTTTTATAAAAATCAAAAATTCAATTCGAATACGAAATCATAGCCATCAAATCGAAATATAAAATAAAATAATCGCTAAATACTTCGAAAATTCAGTCTTATGCCCGTTTTCACCATTGATGGTTCCTTTTTGATCTAACTTATTCTTTACTAATAAAGTTTAGAATATTGGATTTGGGTACAAACGGTTTTAAACACAAAAATTGTTATCAAACATAAACCAATAAAAACCTTCTAAAAACAAAACCTCTTCTTGCTTAAATACCTCTTAATAATATATGCTTTTTAAATATACCTCTGTACCAATACCTCTAAAATATGCATCTTTGTAATACAAGTTACTAACCTTAACCTATTTTGTACATATTAAATACGTGTTAACACTTAAGTTAGGCAAGAGTGGTTTATTTGAAAAATATTCTTGTGGGTTTATCTTCGTTTGGGAACTCTATAAATGGGTGCGTTTGTTTATGGTCTAACATCTCCCTCTCCGAGGGAAAACTGTCTCCACAGACATCGCAAGGCACCGTTTCACTGCTTTGAATGTCATTCCCTTTGACTTCGCTCTCTGGCTGTGACTTTTCAGTTGTTGACTGTTCTTGTGCAAATGCCACCCCAGAAGCCAAATACTGCTTCATATTCAAATGCTTCACAGAAGCTTTGTGATGCTTCAACCGATTTTCCGAACTGCACTGGTACTCACAAATAAAGCACACATACTTCATATCCCCTGTGTGCAACTCCGCATGAGATTTTCTCTTTTCAGGCGTCGAAAACCGGAAATCGCAGAACTTGCAAGGGTATTTCCTATCCGGGGAATGTAGCCTCATATGTGATGTCAAAGCATCCATGTCTTTACAGATCTTTCTGCATTCCAAACACATTGTGCCTTTTATGGTCGGCTCGGTTTCTTCAACCGCCTCACTGTGATGCACCCGTCTATGAGACGTAAGACCTTTTTGACTAATAAAAACTCTTCTACAATCCTCACACTGAAACTGTGGATCAGCTTTAATATCAGGACTGTGTTTCTCTATCTGATGCAAGGCGAGCTTGTCTGCTTCGTGAAATTGTAAGCCACATTCCTCGCACTTCCAAGCTTTCACTAACAAAGAAAATGCCTCGAGGACGTCCAAAACTGACTGCCCTTCTACATCCGGATGGTAAGTCTTCATGTGATCACCAAATTCGATAATCTTTGCAAATGTATTCTTGCAATGCATACAGCTGTACGGACTGGTGTGATCCTCCATAACATGACATTTCAATTCTGATAGGTCAACATAGCTTTTCCCACACATAAAACATCGCAACTTTTGTTTACCCAACACAACTTCAGATATCACTTTATACTCCATCAACTGAACCTTTTGATGTGCCTGCAAATGTTTAAATAGCTCTTTCCTTGTGTTGTAGTCTGTAGGACAAAATTTACAGTGAAATTTCTTAGTATGCGCTCTTTTTCGGTGAGTAGCTAAATCGTTCTTGTCACTAAAGTATTTCAAGCAAGTAGAACATTGGTGGCTTGGGTTAGCATCGGCATACTCATTGTGAGAACGTAGACATGTCTCCATTCTGCTTCTTCTTTGAAACAGTTTGCCACAGGTACATTCATAATCTTCCTTCTTGATTTCTGGCTTTACATCTAAATCACATTGTTCAGCTTTTATCGTCTCCAAGGTAATCATTTCACTTTCCATTTCTATTTCCTGGAAATGTTTTTTACGATTTGCTTTCTTAGTTAGCTGTCCTTTGATGAAGCCCATAGCTCTTTTTTCGATTGTACTATGAATGGACATGTGTCTTTTTAACAAAGCAGCAGTTTTATATTCCTTCGTACATTTTAGACATGGATGCATAACGCCCTTGTGATTCTGAGATTTCTTGGCTTTCAACAAACCGTATGCTTCTTGTTCCAATGATAACACATTTCCCGTAATAGAATTTAATTGGAACATGTCTTCACAGTCCATATCGTTGTATACTGTGGGTAGGATTTCTTCTGGATTCCCTATTTTGGAAATGTTTACCTCTCCATGAGGTACAGGCAATATTTCCATGACTAAGGTCTTAGTGGTGTGAGATTCAATCATTCCATCTTGTGGATTGGTGACTGTTGACGTGGTGTTGATAAGTTTATTTGATATTAAATGTGTTTCTGTCACAGCATCAGTTTCTTGTTTTATGTTGTGATATTCTTCTCTGTGTGTGTCCTGAAAAATGCAATTTTAGAACACAATAAGATGATTATTATTATTATATGTGTGTTTTTGCTACCCAAAATAGTTTAAAAATCTTATTAGAATTACTTTTGATTTGAATGGCAATGCAGCACTAATGAATCTTTTGGCATAGGATAAATTTATAAGTAAGCATTAATTATTTTCTGAATACTTCAGTTCACAAGTTAATATTTAAAATTCTAAAATTAAGTATTAATATTTTTACCTCAGCACCATCAAGACATTCAGGCTTAATATGTATTTCTTCCTGCAGACATGTTTCTACGTTACCCAAAGCAGCAATGTCATTGCTGTCCATGCTCACCGAGTCATCAAAACTTGGGTAATCGTACGAAACTAGGGAGTCCTCGCTCATTATCATTTCGTTTTTAACATCTGCATTTGATTCAAGCTCTGTATTTTCTGCATTTGTAATATCTTTATTTGCACTATCAGATATTCCATTTGCAATGTGACTCTCTTCATTTGTTTTTGCATTCTCATAGTTATTAGGGACATGTTCCATCGAAACTTCTTCCTTAACCTGTAGGTGTCCCATATCAAAGGATGGATCGGAATACATATTAGATTCATTTGTTTGTTCAAGGAGAGCCTGCTCCTCAATTTTGATCCTAACCATAACATTTTCTTGGTGAGTTAAATTTACATCTGGTTCGGATTTTATGTCCAGCGGTTCTTTATGTTCTACATTGTTTTCAAGAGCATCTGGTACTGAATTAAGTTGCTCCATGTTGTCTGGAAATAAGCAGCAATGATATCAATATTGTAGACCAACTCTGCGAGGATTTACAACGAAATTATGACCTACAGGCTACACAGTTCATAGTTATGTTGACTTTCATTAAATATACAAAATAAATGTGTTTCACTGACATTAAAAGGGCTGTTATGCAAAAGAATTATTCAAACAACAGTCGCCTTGTAAAGAAAACCGCATAAAACATTGGAATTTGTAAATAAACTGGTAGTTTCGTACCGTACACATACTTACCTCTTTACCAAGTACCGCTACGAAATCAATAGTAATTATCCTTTTTCTTACACTCCATCTATAGTTAATAATACATTTGTGAGGAAATTACTAATTTAAACAGCTTTGTGATGAAGTTATTCGCAAAAAACAAGATATCATACACAACAATACAAATCGGCAACCATTTTTTTGACAATATTTTTTTTCTGGGATTCCATTCCATTTTCCATAGAAATGGAAATTATCGTTTTTTGGAATTTTACAGCCTTGGATTATTTCATTTGGCCATCATTAGTAGTAGTGTTGTTATGTTGAAGAAAATTATATCGATATTATCAAAGAATCGACTCAGTAAATAATATTGAGATACACATTATTGTTTTTAAATAGCTAATTCTACTTATTAAATGGACACCTATATGAAAAAAAAAAGAAACTAAAATGCTTGCTCATTCAAAAGCCTTTAGAAACACCTGTATTTACAATACAAGATAATAATCAAGATACAATTTTGTTTATATTCAGTTCAAAGTGTAGACATTATTAAACTTAAACAACGTAAAAAGGCCTAAAACATGTGTTGGTAATTAATTAAATAAATAATATGTTAATTATGTCGCTTAGACTGCTAAACGGCCAGATTGGTGGTGGGAGTCAAATTGTGTTTAATAAGATACTTTATTTATTTATTGTGAAACTTAGGTATGAATGAAGTAATGGTCTGCTGTAAAATAAAATACCGGTAAATTAAATAAATAAACGGACATCACTACTACTCGCATCACATCACAGATCACAGGAGGGCTCGTAATTNCTAACATTATTTCTACTTTTGACCACCATGAGCGCTGCGATAGATTATGTCCCCCCCACCTAGTACTTCGCACCCAGCGAAGAGCAGACTATTATCAACTCGGAAAGGGATCAACACCGTATCGCATTTCGCGAGCCTTTCGCACGCTGTCAGTCGCGAGGCGAGGCGTTTACGTTACGTTGCGGATAAGGGCCCTCGCCCACGGCGACTTTTTGTAGCGATACAGTCGCGCATTAGTAGCGCGTTGCCATCACTCCTGTAGTGCGTTGCAAATGCGACTAAAGTCACCGTGGGCGAGGGCCCTAAGGTTTGCGTTGCAGTGTGAAATTTCATACAAAGAATACTAACCGCCTCGAGTTGATACGGTTACGATCCCTTTCCGGGTTGATAAATGTGCTAATCCTTTATTTATTCTATATCTTTTAATTCCATTCCATTATATTCTATTCCATAATACAGTGTAAGTCACGTTAAAGTGGACATATGAAAAAAGATAAAACTAGACTAATTTTTATCGACAAAAAATAGGTCAAAAAATTTTTGAGATTTTATTTTTATTTTGTAAAGAATTTTTTTCTTTCAATTAATTATAGTAAAAAAAAACGTAATAACTTTTAAACTAAGCGGTATATCCTGATAAAATAAAAACAGTAATATAATGCTTAATAATAGGCGATACTAAAAAATACATAAAATACACAAAAAAGGCCAACAAATAATTAAAAAATGATACTTTTTGAAAAAAATCTGCATTTAAATTCGTGTTTTTTTGGTTATTTGATAAATTTCTCCAAAAAATGCCCCTATAACCGGTGGTTTTTATTACTTTGTATTATTATCTATCGTTTACCTTCGAAAACCAAAAATCGCATGCCTCTATCCCTATCACAACGTTTACAATAATGCAATATAAAATGTTAAAGTTGTTAAATAAACTTTTATTATTATTATTATATTATAAAATATTATTTACCTAGATCCCCATGGCCCGTAAACTGGAGCACCTCATCATTCCCAACGCTGGGCTGGGCTTTGCCATCGGCATGGTGGACTCGTCCATGATGCCGGAGCTGGGTTTCCTCGTGGACATCCGCCACGCAGCGGTCTACGGTTCCGTGTACGCCATTGGAGATACTGCGTTCTGCTTGGGATATGCCGTTGGTGAGTTACATGTTTTAGGAAACTCCACGAACCATATTCGTTTCAACCGAAATACGTCCAGCTGGACAAAAACCTCCCCCAAAGTTTTCCATAAAGATCGCTTCTGCGTTACCCGCATCCAGGCACCTCCCGCGACCTTCACCAGATTGTCGGCCCACCTAGTGGGAGGCTTGCCTACACTAGGTCATCCGGATCGTGGTCGCCACTCGAGAACTTTACTGACAGTGGCCATCAGCTCTACGAGCTATGTGCCCCGTCCGCTGCCACTTGATTTTAGCGATTCTGCGAACCATATTATGCTCCACAAAATGGGCCTAACAACAGAAGACCGCTATTGAGCATGTGGAAAACATGCAGAGTCTATACACTTACTGGGTGAATTTGACGCGTTATAGAACAAGGATGATCTCGATGGTCTTACAAAATTCATCTTTATCGATATATCCGGCAACAGAATATCCTAAGTCCCTTTCACCCAGAAACTAATGATTCATTTATTTGAAAGATTTTATGTATAGGGAAGCTCAAAGATCCCAGTGAGTCGAGGTGCTCTACGCTAAGACGTAGCCCTATAAGATAAACATAGATACAGAGGACAAGGGATCACAGTGGTTAAACCATAATATTTTGAAGGTCATTAAATTCTGTTCTTTCTCAGGACCTGCATTCTCTGGAGCTCTAGTCAACAGCATCGGTTTCGAATGGATGCTGGTCATCATTGCAATCCTGAACTTTGCGTATGCTCCGTTCCTTCTTCTGCTGAGGTCACCGCCAGCAAGGGACGAGAAACAAGTACGTTTATCATCAAGTCTCCACTGCAAAAGCCCTCTCTAATTTGCTAGAGGCAAATGAAGGATTTAGCTTACACTCCCCACGTTGGCCAGATGGGTTGGGGAGGCCTGATGTTCGCATGTATGTCCCTTAGTCATTTACAATATCCACTAAAAGAGTGTGGGTGGACCTATTCTATGAGCCTCCTCCACCATTTGGTTTTGCCATAATCTCCACGCTTGGCATGCGGGTTGGAGATCGCAGTTTTTTTATTTTATTTTATTGAGAAAACCAACAGCGTATTTATACAATTTTACCATACATATATTTAACATACAATATGGCCAATAACAGGTTTCCCTTAAATTATTACCAATAGTACTAGTAAAGGTTGGAAGTTTAAAAGATTAATGTTTATAAGAGAGCGTATATTATGTAGTCCCTAAGTCACCTCTTACGACACCCGCGGGAAGAGTAGGAGTTGGTGACAAATGTATTCTACTCTGCCGTCACCACACGCCTGAATGAGTTGAATGAGAATGAGAAACACCAAGATGATTATAATTTTCCATATTTTCAGAGTTTGATCATCAGTGACAAGTCATCGGTACGCTACGTCAGCTACCAAAACGAGGAAGAAGAATAAAGCCCGCCAAAACCGCCGCCATCTTGGATACCGCCGTAATGTCATTTTCTTTTTTATTGTCTTTGGAGTGGTGTTGCTGTACAAAAATATGAGGTTTGCTTAGCAAATATAATAATAAATAGCGACGTCTAAGGAGTGTACAACCTGCTGTAGTGTTGCCAAAATATATTCAACGATATTATAATATATTTATTGATTCTATGGCAATATATAATATAATTGGTAACATAAAAGTTTAAGAAGCTTGTAACTAGTGAGGAAGCATATATTATACACATATTATAATATAATATTAATATTATATATTTACATTATACTGTAGATATTGCCCAAATATTCATATATTTGCTAATCTTATATTATTATACGACTTTAGAAATTTTCTCTGAAATATACCATTATGACCAATTTACCTGTGACCTGTCTGTATTTTCAAGCATATTATAGCATATTATTATACATCCCATAGACTACCAAGTTATTAATATCATAATTGTGTAATTAGGAATCACAGTTAATGTAGTACTTTTATCTCTTTACTATTGCAAATTTGCAAATATACCTACTTGCATATTATCTTCATAACACTACGTAAACCTTTTAGAACCTAATATTGTGATTCCAATAAAATTACATATATCGCCACTTAGTCAGGGTGTATCGTAGGAATGAAATAATACAGAACATATCTATATTTACCCACATATTATACATATAATGTTATTTAATATCTTCCTTTTCTTGTAAGAATATCTTGCAAAATATTCTCTGTTTCCACAAACTTAGTACCCAGTCGACATTTGAAAATGCATATATTATGGAAAAACACATTGTACATTATGTTAATAATACAACACAATGATCGATTCAGTCAATCATAGGTTTTGTCTTTTGATTGGTCTAAATATTAAAATTCAACCAGCGCAAAGTCACATTCTTTGCTTCAAAATTAATATAGTTTTGAGCTACGAAGTAGTAGACATGTGAAGGTAATGCGAACATCTAGGGACTGGAATTTACTACCTGTTGATATACGATTATAATAATATCTATAATATCTACAGAAATGGCAGTTAAAATCTAGAAAAAATCTTAAAACGTGTCGTACTTTGTCGTAAATTTTATTATATTTATTTACGATTAATATGAATAATTTATACTCGAATCATTTTGCATACGTGACTTTGACAATATTGTTTGATATATTTTAATATATAATTATATACCTATTATACATTAATAATATATTGTGATTATACAATATAAACCCATATTTATTGTAGACAATAATGCATTTGTGTGGCTACCTTTTTAATGCCAAATTGTTTGACGTTTCGGACTTATATAGCTAAAATGAAATAATAATATAATGACAATAAAATTATTTCTAGACCACGTGTTATTGTAGCACTTTTCGATTTTTTACAATTTCTGGGTAAAGGACCAACGCAATTTATAACAATATTTTTTTGACAATGATTATGGCATGATAGAGCTTATATTATTATACATGTATAACTCATTTATCTTGTATATAATTAGCGTATAGTGTGTGCAAGAATATTTTATTGTACTCGTTTATAAATTAGGTATATTGAGAAGTTTCTTTATCTTGACTATTTCAGGTTTTATTATAATGTGTAATAATAATTTTGTGAAAAAATATTTTTATTTATAATCTTAGAGTGAAATTCATCGTGTGTCACCAAATATAAATAAATGATCGAGTGTAATTTTATCTAAGCATTTATATTGTTTTGAAGTAGAATTAGTTTAGAATAGTCTTAAAATCAGCTCTAAAAGTACATTAAAAATTTAAACAAAGAATACGAAAGGAAAATAAAAATATAGGGTTTTTGTTTAAATGCCTAACAAAACATAACAAATTTTCGAGTTGTCAGTATTCACAAGCAAAATTTCTGGAATATACATATACCTAATAAGGTATACTTAGTAGGAGTATACACCTAAGGTTTTTGTGCTTGATAGTATAATATAATAATGTATCTAATCTAATATTCCATGATTTAGCCCAAAAAGTACCTACTAAGGAAGTAGTATGAAATGTGTGTGTAGAATTTCAAATATGCTTATACATTTATTATACTTGACTCTAGTGAATATTGTGTGTATATTCTTAAGAAAATGAGTAAGTATTCATTCTTTATCTCGATTAATAAGATGGAAGCAGTTTCTCATGTGTATTTCTTACAAAATAAACATTTAAAAGACGTAAAAGTACTTAATCACAGCTAATAATTTACATATCTCAAACTATAATAAAAAATAGACATTCTGAAATAGAATTAATTCTGTCATCTCTAGGCTCAACCTTAGTAATTGGTAAACTAATATGGCAAAAAATATTACAAACTACTTGCATTATTTTTCACTCTTGTAAGAAGTATTGAGGAATATATTTACGTATGGCTGCGTAAATGGTTTTTATTCAACATGACGAAATTGCGTCCATTTTATTATTAGTTAGTGATATTTTATTTTATTTACGTGACAAGATATTTATTTTAATATAATCTTATGATTCTAATTCAGTTTTAAGTATGTAATATTACGTTGTTTTCTATTTACTGCTAAAATTATTTTCTTAAATGTTTACACATTCATTATTTTAATATAATATTGTATAAATAAGAGTATCAAATATATAATCACATAATCTTCCAGTGTTAGATGAAGAAAATAAACATTTGAGTAGACAACTACGATAACACTACTCATTATTGTCATTATTAAACATCACAATATTATTTATAATAATGATAATCAACATTCTAGATTCATTATTCATCTCAATCAAGTTATTATTATTTAAATTGGTATCATACTTACGCAGTTTTATTCATGTAGAAATAGTGGCAAGTCAAAAATGCTTTTTATGTGTAGTAAAAAATATAAAATAATATTGATAAGTTAGTTATAATAACAAGCACTTATGTTAGATCATTCGTTTATATTTGGTGATGATTGTTATTTTAAGTGTAATGTCTAATGATACGCCATAGCTGGGTTCGGGTCCTTTTAGTCTCTCGTATATTTTTATATTAAAATATTATTTTGAGTGTCTGAATGATAAGTAATTTTATAACTCTGATCTTAGATTGTCAGCGTTTAAGAGATCTATCTATCTAGAATAATAATGATTACAGTTGGAATACATAATAATTATCTCTTTAACAAATTTTGTTATCTTTTCCTGATATTGACAAACATAATACAGAATAATCTTAGTTTATAAGTACCTACTGACATCAGTGAGCTTTCTGTTATTATTTCCAACAAATTCTTTATTTCCTTTTGTATGATTTATATAAATACATAAAAAATATATAATTATATTTAATTATAAATCATTATTTGACTACTAAGAAAAAATACGTTAACATTTTAACAGATTCATTCAGATTTTCAGAATATGTACATTATAATATTATTACTAAATGTTAGTTTAAATAGTAAAGTAAGAACAAAAGCCAAGAGCTGAAAGTGTATTGTAGTAATAAACGAGAATCTTTGTAATATATAAATTTATACTTCTTCTATCCCTCTCTTGGTATATAAAGGCATATATTTTTAGGTAAAAAAGTTTTTCTCATTGCAAATATCAATATTTAGTATTTAAATAATAATATTATAATAAATATTCATTGTGATAGTTATTAGTGATATTTTGATGCTTTTAATGTAAGAGTAGAAATTAAATAAATGAATTAGGTAAACATTTATTAATATGATTGTTGTTTACAATTATTTAACTTTGTTGATGTATTTACATGAGGTTTGACATAATTTAAATATTCGATTGGTATTTTTTACATATTTTGATATTTTATATATTTAATCTTGAATGACTAATAATTTTAAAGGTGTGTTTAATAAGTTAAAAACATATTTTTAACAATAACTTTGCTGTTATATTATATTTTGTTGTATTGTTAAATATTTGTATAAGTTTTATATTCAACATCTAGTCCTGCCCTGTTAATCATGTGTTTGAATAAATATACATTAATGGAACTATGTATTGTATGTCGTTTGGTAGATATACAAGTTTATGAATATGTGTAACTTATTATGAAAATTTTCGGAGTGTTGTTTTAATAAAATGTGGGTATATGAACTAAATAAGCGTTTCCTTTCTATAAATAACTACCAACGACATAGCATGCGTAAAATATTAGAAAAAGTCATGTCAATGTCTACTAAATTAAATAAACTTCTACTAAACTAAAGTTTTCGGAAATCGTCTAATTTTAGCGCAATTTATTTTCTTTTCAGGTAAGGGAAACATGAATTCATACGAACGATAGTAGAAATACCAAACTATACTTACTTAACATTATTCTAAGATTAAAAAGCTTATCAAAGTCTCATAGTCTCTTTAATAGATATACAAAAATACATCAGTACATCACAACATTTTTTTATAGTAAAAACTCAATATAAGGCATACACATTTTATATATTATTATTATTATATTATATCACGCACATAAGTAACTATATTATACAACTACGTATTAATTTACCCAAATTAAACTTAGCTGTAAACCCATCTAAATACAATAATATTCTACGACATATTCACTAGGTATATAAATATTTTCTAAGAATGATACTTGGCCAAATCTGTAAAACAAACATAATATACTTTTAATTATTAAAAATGTTAAAGTTTTAGTTAAATAGGTACTGAAGAAGTCTTGGTACAAACTCAAGTAATAAAATGTTAAAGATTTTGATTGTATCGTTTATGTTAATTAACTAGCAAAGAATAGCATTTTTAATTACTATTTTAACAAAGGTACCTAGAATAATTTTTGACTTTTTAAGGTAATACTTGAAATTGGTTAATATTAAGCTTTGTTCAGTTTACATTTCAGCCGTCATTTGTTGTCAGGTTCCAGAAATTATAAGTTAGTTAAATAGATAGTTGACACCATTTTATAATTACATCCAGTTTTAAGAACATCGTAATATACTTAATGTTCAATATTGCTGGTGTCAACTACTGATTATTGAAACATAAAAAAGCTTATATAAAATCACTGGTTGGAATATTTGGTTATAATATTTACAGTATTTGTCGGTCATCTATTATAGTTTGTTCATCATATTATTATAATTAGCCTTTGAAGGCGAAGGAGTATCCTTCACCGAAGTTGTGGGGTCCTCTGTCTTCCACTCCGTTCTCACGATACTGTAAAAAGAAAGCTATTTTAAGGCTGAGTTGCACCATCTTATTTTAACCGTGACTATAATCTTAACCGGTGTTTTTGTATGCAGTTTGATAGACCTTTGACGTTTGTTAAAGTTAAAGTAAGATGGCGCAACTCAGCATAAGTTATAGAACCCTTAAAGGGCTTCATTGGCAAGGCAGTTGGTTCTAAGACAGTCGGCTAACTTCAGGAATACTCAACCCTTACTGTTGGAGGATGAAAAATATTTTACAATCATATAAAAGTTATCAGATGATTCACACTCCCGCTGGCGCCATTCCACGAAGTTTATATCTCCGCATCAACTATAGACACACCATCGAGTATGATCACCATTATTTTATAGCAGTTCTATTACAACACAGTTGAGTTAACTGCGCTGCGCACTTGGCAGCCGTGACGTCTCATCGACGCTGTACGGATGATGGGGCAAACTCGGGGAGGTGTGCAGTGGGTCTAGGCAAGTGGCACTTTCTGATCGAATCGAAAATGGAATCCGTTGAAACTCCATACAAAAAAGGCTTTTCGACCATCTTTCGACTTTTAACTGTCACATTTTGCAACTTGTCTAGGGGGCTGGTAAGTGGGAGGAAGTGTCGCATTCCAGCGAGGTGAGCAGTTCCTCGATTGGGCTGTACTATTCAGGAGATACAGGGGTGGGAAAGAGAGATGAATAAACCGCCTCTGTAGTCTAGTGGTAAGACCACTTGCTTCAGACGCAAAGGTCCCGGGTTCGATTCCCAGTGGGGGCAGATTTTCTGTTCGGTTTGGTTGGTATTAGGGCTTGTTCTAAGTCCGGCTAGCTACCATCATCTTACCTAAGTCTGTCGCCGTAACAACTATATTAACAGCATTATTGTGTTCCGGCAGTTAGAGGTAAGATAGCCAGTTCCTCCATGGTGGAGGATTCCGGGTGAAGCTCGCTTCCACCTTCAGCCTGATCGTCACTTACCATCAGGTGAGATACAGGCCAAGTGCTTCCTCGTTGTGGATTAAAAAAAAAATAAGTCCATTTAATAAGGCTTCTTACCTGTCCATCGTCTTCGTTGCCTCGTTGCCAGCTCGGCGCGTAATACTGGTTGCTGGGCGGCGCCGGGCGAGGGCCCTCTTGGTACTGCTGATAAATTAATAAACATTACTTTTTCTGAAAAGTTCACCAGTAATTTTTCGCAAACTATCTTCTTGAATTAGGACGATAGTTCAGAAATCGATGGGAGTTATCGGGACTGTTTTTCCAAATATCGGAACCCCGATTCACTGTGTAAGCGTTATGCCGAGTACACTTCATTATAGGTACAGTAGTGACTGGATGGAACATCCATCTTGTGAGATGCAAATCAAGAGCTTCTTCAATATTAGTAGAAAAGTTAGAACAGAAATATTTGGATCTTAATCCCGTGATATATCCCCTATGGTATAGATCGTTTCATCCTCGAAGACGCGCCCCATCATTATTCCATTCTTCCGTAAATGTTTGAGTGCTATCGGTACCTACAAGCTAAATAATCCATGAGTGCACTCGCACACTACAATAATGACACTCGGATTGCTCGAATCAAACTCCTTGCGTCTTCCTTCGACTAAAAATTGGTGGGGCGCGTATTCGTGGATGAGACGATCTATGTAATATTTAATAATTTAAAGCTTACCTGTGGGTTGTTCCATCTGTTAGGTTCCGGCCTCTGCTGGTTGTACTGCTGTTGGAGCTCATACGCTTGCCTCTGCTGCTCATAGGCTTGCTGGTGGTGGGCCTCTGGAAATGATAATTCAAAAATAAGGAATATACAAAAGATTCCGACTTGAACGTAGGCTGTTTTCGATTTTTTCTTACTGAAAAATTGTGGAGGGAAGTGACTGGCATATAAGTGCTCCGCAGAATTGACAATAAATAAAATGTAGTGTGTGGAGTGGAGGCCACGTACCGGAAAACGCAGCGTGGGATGTCCACCCTCAAGGTGGACCGACGACCTGATAAAGGTAGCAGGAAGGCGCTGGATGCAGGCCGCTACCAACCGGACGATGAAGTCATTGGGGGAGGCCTATGTTCAGCAGTGGTGATGATGATGATGATGTCCGGGGCACATAGCTCGCAGAACAGATAGCTGTTGGGATGATTGGGGCAAAAAAGTTCTCGAGAGGCGACCACGGATCAAAGGACGCGGTGAAAGCAAGCCTCCCACTAAGTGGATCGACGATCTGGTGAAGGTTGCGGGAAGGACTTGGACCGGTCTTGAATCTTTGGGGGAGGACTTTTAGTTAAAAAAAATGAAAGAGACTACTTACCCTGGTTTAGAGGTGGGACTGGCTCAGGACTCTTTGGTATGTGGCTTCCTTCAAGAATCTGAAAAGAATAAAAATCAAATTATTTAAAGTAGCTAGTTATTTAAATAAAATTAAATTCGTGCTATGGAAGACTGGTATGAAAACTATGCCACCCTAATGGCGCAAGTACACTATGCGGAAAATTGACCGAGACGAGCGCAAAGTCGCAAGCCCGCACGCCGAAGTATGGAGAGGAAATTAACCGAGGTCGACGTTTACACGAACGTTTTGGTTAATTTCCCGCGTAGTGTACTTGCGCCATAATAGATGGTTCCTCCTCCACCCTCCATAGTCACGTGACACACGTCGCAAGGCACTTGTAAAAGTTAATTCTTAAAACTGGCAATAGATGGCGCTGATATACTTAATGCCGGCTGAATACTCGTCTACGACGCTGTTTAGTGCTACGGTGTTCTACGACAGCTTTAACATAGTTATTCAGCATCTTTTGACTTTCTTAGACCCAGTTTTTTTGAATCGTAGTAAAGTAACAACATAAGTAACAATGATTAAATATTAACAAAATGTAAACTAATAGGTAAAAGTCAAACAATTAGGTACCTATTTGACACCATGCACGCGCATGCATGTTCGTGAAGCGTTTGAATTGCGTGTGAGAAAAAGTAACTTTCTTTCAGCTTATACGTAGGCGCAGTTGCGCTCCATTTACGTTCCAACTTTGTTTGAACTAACTGTCAAAACGATACCGCGATACGGGTCAAAACAGCTGATGTTCGTTCGTGGTCCAGTCTCGTTGCAGTTAATAATATTGGGGCCCTGAAGATGGACATACCTGGAAGCCTTCCTTGCCAGCCTTGTACTTCAGCTTGACAATCTGCCCACTTGGATCCTTGTACTGGTACCCGCCGATTCTGGAGCCATCGGGCTGGATGGTTTCACCAGCAGCCAGCCCGTTGTCTGATGCGTACTCGAATTGGAAGCTGCCCTCTGGAAGAGTTGTGTTTAGTTAAAAATAACTTGAATAAAAAAGTATTTATTTGATGCAAGTAAAAAAAATTAACTAAAACTGACAATAGAACGGGTACAAGCACCAAAATGACATCTGCTCAGTATAAGCCGTGACGGCAGAGAGCGCATCACGACCACTGATATTTTTCACCTTTTTTGGGTTCGGTTAATAGAGAACTAACTTTAGAAGTTACTATAGGATACAGATAGCAGATAAGCTTATTTAGCTAGATTTTTCCCGCGGCTTCGCTTACGTGAATTTTGAGACTTCATCGCACAGGTCTATTTCAAAACTGGGATAAAAAGTATCGTGCGATAAACTCATGAGTTAGTAGTACTATCGTCTTTAAATTAGTAGCCCATCATCCTGGGGGGTGGGGGGGCATCAGACCATTTTAGGGGGAGTGGCGTGTCTATAAATAAACCGAAAAGTATACCTTCCTTTAGGCTAAGCAGAAATCTAATATATAACTCAAAGCTGACTGACTGACTGTCATAGTGATCTATCAACGCACAGCCCAAACCACTGGACGGATCGGGCTGAAATTTGGCATGCAGGTAGATGTTGTGACGTAGGCATCCGCTAAGAAAGGATTTTACGAAACTTCACCCCTAAGGGGGTAAAACGGGATCCACGCGTACGAAGTCGCGGGCGGCCGCTAGTAACCTACATATTTTTAGATGTACTGAACTGTTGTGTCCAAAATCTTTCTATCACTACTAACCTGAAGTCAGGGCTTGCTTGTGGTGGATGATGGCGGCCTGCTGCTCCTTCGTGAGCTGGAAAGCTGGTCTCCAGGGCTCCACCGGGGCTGGGGCGCTGTAGGAGGGGCCGGCTGGGAAATAAAGATCGTCATCATTATCATTTCAGCATCCACTTCTTCGAAGCATCAATATGTCGTCCTGAAGTGGTGGTAGGGCAAGCTAATATTTGGGTCGTATGGCCCTTTCCATGGCACTTATCCTGAAAAGAGCCTAATCTAATAGCTAATAGTAAAGAATTTCAGTTTGATCTTCAAAAGCTGTCAGACGTCAGCTGTTTTGTCACCTGACAACCGCTTTGCACAGGAGGGAAGTCGAACCCTATTTTCTTCTGCTTAATTTCGTTGCGGGTCTAATGACAGTTTAACTTTCCCCCGAGACAAACTTGACCTTCACTGGTTGGGTTATTGGCAAGCTGTAGATCCTGGCGACACAGGAGTTGCAGCGGTGGAAAAAAAAGGTGAGAATAGTCCCGTAGCTGCCAGGCACAACAAAAATTAGAGTAAAGAAGAACGCAGCTGCGATTTATACTCGTAGACTGTCTAAAGCAGGGGTTCCCCAAAGTTGTCTGGGTTACGAGCTACGACTCATCTAATACAAGTTCCCAAACTCGGGACCAACCTATAAGAAATTTCGCCCGCTGCCCAGCGGTTGCATCGGTAGAGTGGTGTGTCGTTCTTCAGGCAGGGCCCACTCAATGTTCGCTCGCGACTTACCACTGGGTCGCGACCCATAGTTTGGAAAAACCTGGTCTAAAGTATACCTACTCTTGGATTTAATCCTATCTAGCTAGTGTACCGCATACCATTCCAGTTTTCCTGCACAGGTTTCGGTCTCCAAGGCTCTGCTATGGTGCTCTGAGGAGACACGTCGTTACGGGATGGGGTGAAGAGACCCTTGTCCACCTGTAAAGATAAAAATGGCTATCAAAATACAAATAAATAACGGATTGGTTGCTTCATCATCATCAAACGGGACTATTCTCGTTCCCACCGCTGCAACTCCTGTGTAGCCAGGATCTACAGCTTGACCGCCAATAACCCAATCAATGAAGATCAAGTTTGTCCCGGGGGAAAGTTATACTGTCATTAGACTCGCAACGATTTTAATCAGAAGAACATAGGAGGAGTTCGAAGTTAAGGTTCGACTTCCCTCCATTGCAAAGCGGATGACAGGTGACAAACAAAGGTTTAAAACCTTTAAGAAAATATTATGCACCACGGACAATAAATATCAATTAAGGGGGCCTATCTTATGAGAAATTAGCAACTACCTGCCAATAATATTTTTCCTCCAGTCAGTGCAAAGCGGATGACAGGTGACAAAACAAAGGTTTAATAACCATTTCATCATCAAGTCATTTGGTATCCAGTACAGGAGCACGATCCTCTAATTTACCAGAGGCAAATGGAGGATTTGATACACTCCCCACGCTGGCCAGACGGGTTGGGGAGGACTGATGTTCGCGTGTTTTTCCCTTAATTAATGACATACAAGAAGAGTTGGGGGTTCTATTCTACTCTACCGAAATTACCCGGTTGACCACTGATTGCCTAAAGTATCTAGGTTTTCTATTCTCATGCATGAATATCCTTTAAATGACTCATGCAAATACATACATAATTAAATAAATATCCTTGTATTTTTATCAATTTTCACCTTCGAATCCCAAACTAAGAAAACTTTTTACTACGTGTACCAAACAACGGATAATATAAACTTGTAGGCACGTGTATGTGAATACCTACATGTAGGTACACTACACTACACACTATAAGAAAACATCCAGGAATTGTTAAACTTTGTTCACTTGGGTGATGAAATTGGAATTTTTAGTGTCCTCATTTCACCCAGGTGAACTGATTCGACTAAAGCGGTCGCCTTTGTTCACCTACGAATTATTTCACCCAGGTGAACAGATGCGAAAACCTGAGTGAATTAATTCCTAGGCGAATAAAGGTGACCACTTTAGGTCAACTCAATTCTCCTGGAAAATGTGAACCGAAATGAAATGAGGACACTAAAAATTCCACTTCCTTCACCCAGGTTAACAAAGTGGAATAATCCACACCCAGCCCACTAAAAACAAATTCATGCACACAAATAAATACAATTGTATTTTTAGGGGATAGAACCTGCGACCTCTATGGCAACCAAATCAAAGTATTATTAAGTGCCTTGCCAAACACCAATGTAGTAGAATATCTGACATCACTTAAGTAATACGTAACTTAGTCCATCTGGTGTCGGACACACTGGGCTCCCAGGACCTGTGCGCTGGTTGGAAGAAACCGGCATTTCCCACCTAAGTAGGAAATAAGATATTATGATATCAACCTAATCTTGGAGGGAAAGTTCACTTTCATCACAGTCATCACGTTCAGAAACTTTGGTTTATTTTCTTAAATTGTAGCGTTGCAGTTTGCTGTTTTTTCACAAATTAATATTTCTTCTCAATATTCTGATTTTGGATACCACTAGCGACATCTATTGGCGTGATTTAGAATTAATTTGCAATAGATGGCGCTTTTTGCTCAGTTAATTGAAATGTACTTTGATGAAACATTTCCTAGTGTTTTTATATTGATTATTCTATTTTTCAAATATAATATTTTCAGTGTTCTGGAAATTGTTTACANTCCGTATCGCATCCAGCATCTTCTGTCGAGCTTCGTCATAGAGGTCGTCATTCCCAAAGTGCGTGATCGCGGCTCTCTTCGACTTCCTCGCCGCATGGGCATAGTGCAGACTCGCACAGCGTCATCCTGTGTAGGCACCCCGAGGGGCAGCTGGAGCTCCCCTATACACTCTCACATTCGGCCTGTCTCGTGGGCGAGAGTAACCAGCATGATGGTTCTCCTCAACCGCAACACACTCGTCTTCATCGTACAAGCTAGTTACAAACAGCGACAATAGATGGAGCTGTGTCGAGTTAGCTCGCGGTATCATTTGATTTTTTCTTAACCAATAAGTTTCAAGGGACACTTTGATAACCAAACTGATAGATTGGAAAGACTTGCACCAAGCGATTTCGTTCGTTCTAGTTATTTTTTGGAGCTGCAACTACCGAACGTAGCTACCTACTGAGAAGTAGACTACGCTTAGGTAGTTAGAGCAGCTAAGAAACGTAAGACGTAATTGTAGGCATCGGTAAGTATCGGTAGGTACCAATACCAAGTACTCATGTTGTATCGAGGCATGATATCGTACCTAAAAAAAGGTATTGATACTATTCAGTGATGACAATATGACATGAGCTCCCCTGGCTTACCTGGAAGTCTTTAAATAGACTTCGGACGCAGGTTGGCCGTAGTAGGGGCAATCTGGTCAGGTGGGGACTCTTGGATGGCTTAAACATGGAGTGCAGGTGCGGTTTTGTTCCCCAGTCGATGAAGCACCTGATGTCATGCCCTGAGTGCCCAAGCAACTGCACTCAGGAGGATTTGATGAGTGCTACTGACAACGCCACTCTTGTGGCGGAGTTTTGTGCTGACATTGTGTAGGTTTGTTGTCGACACGAAAAAAATAAGAAGAAGTGATGATGATGATCCATCCGACCGATTTCGGCCATGGCGACCACTCCGACTCCTAGCTGTCTTGGCGGCGCTGGTGTGCCCGAATGGCTTACGTAGCCGATCTTCGCGGCAAACCCCCTCGCACATTGAGGGCATCTGAGCACGCCGCCAACATAGTTATAGCTTGGACGAATTCGTCCAAGAGTTATAGTGAATGGTGGCAGATGGATGGGCCCTCAAGTCATCGCGCTTCGCGTCGAGTTCAGTCGATTATTACTATTCAGTATGTACATAAGAATGAGAGCATACAAATCTAAAGCACATCTAAAGCCTGGTCCGTGAGCACGTAGAATCCCGTCCAATGACCCCAAGCTGCCCATCCTTGTCGCTCGCACGTAATTATGTTGCTGTCGCGCTCGCACACTCACTGCGGGCGCGCGTCGCACAGTCGCGACAGCAATATAATTACGCGCGAGCGATAAGGATGGGTAGCTTGGGGTCATTGGACGGGATTCTACGTGCTCACGGATCAGGCTTTAGTCTCACTGACGTTTAACGTCCCCGTGCCGCTCCCCTACCTGTGTTCACTGAGTTAAGCGCTAGACCTGCTCGTAGTAGTGTGTCTACGAGCGTCTACGACGCTGGCTAGTGCTACGGTGTTTTACGACAGCTTTAAAATAGTTATTAGCATCTTTTGGCTTTCTTTGAACAGTTTTTTGATTCGTAGTTAAAGTAACAATGATTAAATATTAACAAAATGTAAACTAATAGGTAAAAGTCAAACAATTAGGTATTTGACACCATGCACGCGCATGCATGTTCGTGAAGCGTTTGACTTTGCGTTCGAGATAAAGTAGCTTTCTTTCAGCTTATACGTAGGCGCAGTTGCACTCCGTTTACATTCCAACTTTGTTTGAACTAACTGTCAAAACTATACCGCGAAACGGGTCAAAACAGCTGATGTTCGTTGGTCGTCCAGTCGCGTAGCAGTTAATAAATAATTGAGGCACTGATAATGGACGTACCTGGAAGCCTTCCTTGCCAGCCTTATACTTCAGCTTCACGATCTGCCCACTTGGATCCTTGTACTGGTACCCGCCGATTCTGGAGCCATCAGGCTGGATGGTTTCACCAGCAGCCAGACCGTTGTCCGAGGCGTACTCGAATTGGAAGCTGCCCTCTGGAAGAGTTGAGTTTAGCCAAATAATTTGAATGAAAAAGTATTTATTTGATGCAAGTACAAAATCTATTACTTATAATAAATCTGTAGAGAGGTCAATTCTGTACATGAAATATATTTTCAAAATAACTATCAGGGGGTGATTAGTGATCGATACTGATGCCAAAAATGCAATCAGTAAAATTTTTGTCTGTCTGTCTGTCTGTCTGTATGTTCCTTATAGAAACAAAAAATACTCGACGGATTTTAACGAAACTTGGTACAATTATTCTTCATACTCCTGGGCAGGTTATAAGATACTTAGGAATTCCCACGGGAACGGGAATTAGCGGGTAAATCCTTTTGTATGAAAAATCTAAACCGCTTGAGTTAGACGCTTGAAATTTGTCATGCAGGTACCTTAGTAAACATAAAGCTTAGTTACAACAGGATATTGCAAAATTCCCACGGGGACGGGAGTTAGCGGGAAAAAACATTTGTATGAAAAAATCTAAACCGCGTAAGATAGATGAAGGGGGTAAAACGGGATCCACGCGTACGAAGTCGCGGGCGGCCGCTAGTTAAATAATAAAAACTGACAACAGAACGGGTACAAGCACCAATTAAGGCATCTGCTCAGTATAAGCCATGACGGCAGAGGGCGCATATCACGACCACTGATATTTTTCACCTTTTTTGGGTTCGGTTAATAAAGAAGTAACTTTAGAAGCTACTATAGGATACAGATAGCAGATAATGTAACTTATTTAGCTAGGTTTTGCCCGCGGCTTCGCTTACGTGAATTTTGAGACTTCATCGCACGGGTCTATTTCAAAACTGGGATAAAAACTATCGTGCGATAAACTCATGAGTTAGTAGTAGGTACTATCGTCTTCAAATTAGTAGCCCAACATCCTGGGTTCACCAGACCGCCTCTGTGGTCTAGTGGTAAGACCACTTGCTTCAGACGCAGAGGTCCCGGGTTCGATTCCCAGTGGTCAGTCGAAGTCAGCCTGGCTAGCTACTACCATCTTACCTAAGTCCGTCGCCATAACAACAATGTTAACAGCATTGTTGTGTTCCGGCAGTTAGAGGTAAGATAGCCAGTTCCTCCGTGGTTGAGGATTCCGGGTGAAGCTGCTGCTGTCGCGCTCGCACACTCACTGCGAGCGCCCGTCGCACAGTCGCGACAGCAATATAATTACGCGCGAGCGATAAGGATGGGTAGCTTGGGGTCATTGGACAAAATTCTACGTGCTCACGGACCAGGCTTTAGTGAGTAGTACTATAGTCTTCAAATTAGTAGCCCAACATTCTGGAGGGTGGGGGGGCACCAGACCATTTTGGGGGGAGTGGCGTGCCTATAAATAGACCGAAAAGTATGTTTCCTTTAGGCTAAGCAGAAATAATATTATTAGATTTTTTTTTACCCACAACGAGGAAGCTCTTGGCCTGTATCTCACCTGATGATAAGTGACGATCAGGCCGAAGGTGAAAGCGAGCTTCACCCGGAATCCTCAACCACGGAGGAACTGGCTATCTTACCTCTAACTGCCGGAACACAAAAATGCTGTTAAAATTGTTGTTATGGCGACAGACTTAGGTAAGATGGTGGTAGCTAGCCAGGCGGACTTAGAACAAGCCCTACCACCAACCAAACCGAACAGAAAAATCTGCCCCCACTGGGAATCGAACCCGGGACCTCTAAGCTGCGTCTAAAGCAGGTGGTCTTACCAATAGACCACAGAGGTGGTTAACTGACAGATGTTCTGAACAGTTGCGTCCAAAATCTTCTTTCTATCACTACTAACCTGAAGTCAGGGCCTGCTTGTGGTGAATGATGGCGGCCTGCTGCTCCTTCGTGAGCTGGAAAGGTGGTCTCCAGGGTTCTACAGGGGCTGGGGCACTGTAGGAGGGGCCGGCTGGGAAATAAAGATCGTCATCATTATCATTTCATCATCCACTTCTTCGAAGCACAAGCCGATTGTTGTCCTGAAGTGGTGGTAGGGCAAGCTAATATTTGGGTCGTATGGCCCTTTCCATGGCACTTATCCTGAAAAGAGCCTAATCTAATAGCTAAGTAATAGTAAAGAATTTCAGTTTGATCTTCAAAAGCTGTCAGACGTCAGCTGTTTTGTCACCTGACAACCGCTTTGCACAGGAGGGAAGTCGAACCCTATTTTCTTCTGCTTAATTTCGTTGCGGGTCTAATGACAGTTTAACTTTCCCCCGAGACAAACTTGACCTTCACTGGTTGGGTTATTGGCGTTCAAGCTGTAGATCCTGGCTACACAGGAGTTGCAGCGGTGGAAAAAAAAGGTGAGAATAGTCCCGTAGCTGGCACAAAAATTAGAGTAGAGAAGAACGCAGCTGCGATTTATACTCGTAGACTGTCTAAAGCAGTGGTTCCCCAAAGTTGTCTGGGCTACGACTCATCTAATACAAGTTCCCAAACTCGGGACCCACCTACAAGAAATTTCGCCCGCTGCCCAGCGGTTGTATCGGTAGGGTGGTGTGTCGTTCTTCAGGCAGGGCCCACTCAATGTTCGCTCGCGACTCACCACTGGGTCGCAACCCATAGTTTGGGAAACCCTGGTCTAAAGTATACCTACTCTTGGATTTAATCCTATCTAGCTAGTGTACCGCATATTGATACTTACCATTCCAGTTTTCCTGCACAGGTTTCGGTCTCCAAGGCTCTGCTATGGTGCTCTGGGGAGACACGTCGTTACGGGATGGGGTGAAGAGACCCTTGTCCACCTGTAAAGATAGAAATGGCTATCAAAATACAAATAAATAACGGATTGGTTGCTTCATCATCATCAAACGGGACTATTCTCGTTCCCACCGCTGCAACTCCTGTGTAGCCAGGATCTACAGCTTGACCGCCAATAACCCAATCAATGAAGATCAAGTTTGTCCCGGGGGAAAGTTATACTGTCATTGGACTCGCAACGATTTTAATCAGAAGAACATAGGAGGAGTTCGAAGTTAAGGTTCGACTTCCCTCCATTGCAAAGCGGATGACAGGTGACAAACAAAGGTTTAAAACCTTTAAGAAAATATTATGCACCACGGACAATAAATATCAATTAAGGGGGCCTATCTTATGAGCAATTAGCAACTACCTGCCAATAATATTTTTCCTCCAGTCAGTGCAAAGCGGATGACAGGTGACAAAACAAAGGTTTAATAACCATTTCATCATCAAGTCATTTGGTATCCAGTGGTCAATTTCCCAAACACATTTTTTGAGCGGCGTAGCTGAAAATCATATGTTTTTTATGACATAGAACTTTAATTTTTTTTTACACGAAAATATACAGAGGTTTCATTTTGAGGACAACATTATTAATGAGTATTTTCTTTTACAAATTCGACAAAAAATAATTGAACTAAGCGTTTCTAATTTTGGTGCAGTGTCCACATCCTTAATTTNCCTCTAATTTACCAGAGGCAAATGGAGGATTTGGCCTACACTCCCCACGCTGGCCAGACGGGTTGGGGAGGACTGATGTTCGCGTGTTTTTCCCTTAGTTAATGACATACAAGAAGAGTTGGGGGTTCTATTCTACTCTACCGAAATTACCCGGTTGACCACTGATTGCCTAAAGTATCTAGGTTTTCTATTCTCATGCATGAATACCTATCCTTTAAATGACTCATGCAAATACATACATAATTAAATAAATAACCTTGTATTTTTATCAATTTTCACCTTCGAATCCCAAACTAAGAAAACTTTTTACTACGTGTACCAAACAACGGATATAAACTTGTAGGCACGTGTATGTGAATACCTACATGTAGGTACACTACACTACACACTATAAGAAAACATCCAGGAATTGTTCCACTTTGTTCACTTGGGTGATGAAAGTGGAATTTTTAGTGTCCTCATTTCACCCAGGTGAACTGATTCGACTAAAGCGGTCGCCTTTGTTCACCTACGAATTATTTCACCCAGGTGAACAGATGCGAAAACCTGAGTGAATTATGGTTCCGAAATGAAATGAGGACACTAAAAATTCCACTTCCTTCACCCAGGTTAACAAAGTGGAATAATCCACACCCAGACCACTAAAAACAAATTCATGCACACGAATAAATAAAATTCTATTTTTGGGGGATAGAACCTGCGACCTACTCAAACCAACCAAATCAAAGTATTATGTAAGTGCCTTTGCCAAACACCAATGTAGTAGAATATCTGACATCACTTAAGTAATACGTAACTTAGTCCATCTGGTGTCGGACACACTGGGCTCCCAGGATCTAGGCGCTGGTTGGAAGAAACCGGCATTTCCCACCTAAGTAGGAAATAAGATATTACTTATGATATCAACCTAATCTTCTTGGAGGGAAAGTTCACTTTAATCACAGTTAAATAAAATAAAATGTCATAATTAACCAAATGACACAACTACAGGTTTGAAACAAAACGGTGCTAATATAACTTCAAATTCTCTCACTTCTTGAGAGAGAAGAGTGAAGCCCGTATTCACAAACGATGTTTGCTTAAGCCTAGACGCAGACTATCGACGTTTAAGTAGTTGGCCGATAGTTGAACCCGATTATAATTTGTAATGAAAAGTCGACTAATACCTAGAACCATATCGGTGTACTTAATGTGCGCACTTTCATACATCTCCATACTGATTAACAGCCCGACCTACAAAAAATCGGTGGTCTGCGCTTAAGCTAAGTGAAGCAGCCGAACGCACAGCGTTGAATAGAGCTCTGTGATTGGTTCATATGTCACCTTGTGCGTCCACGCCACACGCACTGTGAGACCTCATAGTAATCTTTGTCAATACGAGCGTAAGGCCTCTTCGTGTGAGGCCTTAATTAGAGAAGTTTATAAATATTATTGGTTAATGGCGTCAAACAACATCAAAGGATGTCTTCACAGCCATAATTCATACCCCGTTCAGCTTCAGTTCGCTGCCTGACCATCAGCAATTACTGATGAATCATCACAGTTAAGCAATGCCCTAGTTGACCGCCCGACAAGAAAGGCATGGAAATAATTTCACATTGCATCATGTAGACATGACATGAGTAAAAGTATTAGGTACGTACTAAGTACTATTTAGAATATTAATAAATGCTGCTTCTTTTCATAAATTACGAAATTATTATCTCGAAGCGCTGCAGCAGAGCAACAAAATAATTAAATGTAGTCTCCATAAGAGCATTGACGATTTGAACGAGAAAATATGCAGCCAGCATCCTCGCTTCTTTGTCTGGAGGACATGACATGCTTTATTTTTGATTTAAGGATTGTAATACTGGATGCGTTCTAAGGTCTAAGTCAGGAAGTAAACGCAACCCGCATCATGTAAAACAACATTCTCAATTTGCATATACAGTGTGGAATTTTCTAATGCCACCTGGAGGGCAACTACTCTTAATATTGTAGATAGAAAAATTTTCTCAAAGAAAACATTCCTTTATTTTTGAAAAGAAATAGAACTGCATTCAAAGATTTCCAAAAATTTGCTTGCCATACCCAGGAATCGAACCAGCTAAAATCTGTTAAAAATTACACCCTGTATTTTTATTGCATCGATCGTTAGGGTCAAGGATAAGGATGAAAGCTCTCTAACAAACTTGATAAATCAAATGAAAGGAAATCCATGAAATCTTAAATTATTTTAATTATGTACAGAAAATTGTATGGTATGGTAGTGAATTTTCGAAAAATTTTTGAAAATCTATGAATGCAGTTATCTTTCTTTTCAAAAATAAAGGAATTATTTTTTTTTAGTAAAATCTATTTGCAGTATTAAGAGTACTTTCCCTCCAGGTGGCATTACAAAATTCCACCCTGTATTTTGGTATTGTTGCGACCTGACCTGAGGATCTCACCGTGCGAGCAAGAGCAAATAACGCAAACTGACAGCGTGTATTTGAAACTATGGAAGAGGCTGACAATAGTGAAAGATTTACCATAAAAATGTGAAGAACTTACATTATTTTGATTGAAGGTCTGAGGGGCATAGTAGCCGTCCTGCGCCCTCACGCTCGCCGCCACCAAGAAACACCAGAAACATATCAACTGGAACAAGGATAAATAAATAAAATAGTTTTTTTTAAAGATTATTTTTTATTTTGTAAATAGTTTTTATCATTAGTACCTAATATTTTAAGATTATGTAAATCGACGGTAAGATTATACAGGATGTTTCAAATAATAGTGTCAAGCTGAAGCTCAGAGGTAGAGCATTACTAGGGCTATCCGAATAACCCCCATGTATTTTCCGCAATTCTTGATTGTTTTCTAGGTTTTTTTTTTAATTTGGGCATTATTTAATTTCAGAGAGAGCGCGGCGCTATCGGTTTACGCGTTGCTCTCTCCACGTGATTTAGAATTTTAATTGTTGAAAGATTTTAGGTTGCTAACTATGTTTTCAATGTGGGTGATTGTTTTCTAGTTATGATTGTTTTAAATTTCTGTGCTTAGGCACTTTTTTGGTCACTGTGGCGCGAATAGATAAGTTGCATGTCTGATTTTTTTTTATTACTATTAGTGAATACTAGGCCTAGCTGATTCAGAAGTACCTACATCCATAACACGAATGTAAACTAAAAAAAGTTAAAAATCCTGTGTGTTGTAAAAAAATATCATAACGCGAAAGCTATCAAAAGTCGCAGTGATTCGGTTAGCCCTGGTACTCTACCTTTGGGCTTCAGCTTGACATTACTTTTTGAGACACCCTGTATATTTTGAAAGCTTCGAAAAATTGTGTACTTACCCGCATTATGAATTGTCCAGAACACCTGTACCTCCAACAAGCAGTCCTACAGTGAGACTAGTTATGAAACATGCACCTCCTTATATGCAGTTGGGTAAGGAGCAATGAAGCGGTAACTAGCTTACTCTATAGAGGTCAGCGGTTCAGTTAAAGAGTCAGTTAAATCAAAAGGCGTCATGTTTTTGGATACTGAACAAATTAATTGGTTAAGTATAATTATCTAAATTAGTTTGGTGTAGTGGTTCAGAACGGACTACTATGCCGAGAGGTCCCGGGTTCGATTCGGCCGGGCAGAAATTGAAATGATGAATTTAAATTTCTGTGACGGGTCTGGGTGTTACTATGTAATAATTATGTATGTATTTAAACAAAATGTATTTAAGTAGTAATCCGTTAAGTTAGCACCCATAACACAAGCATTAAGTTGCTTACTTTGGGGCTAGCTGGCGCTGTGTGAAATTGTCCAAAGATTTATTACTTTTTAACCGACTTCAACAAAAGGAGGAGGTTCTCAATTCGGTTGGTATGTTTATCTTATTTATTAACCTAGGTTTTGGTGGATCGCAAACAATTTCATCTTATGGCTACACTGAATGAAAATTTGTTAAGTTTCGTTCGTTTCAGCCAAACGACGTCGACTGCTGGACAAAAAGGCCTCCCTCAAGGATTTCTACGACGACCGGTCCTGCTGCATCCATGGCTTCACGCGATCTTCGCCAGATCGCCCATACCTTATTACTTACATATTATGACGATTTTATAATATTGTACGATGTATTAATTAGGTACCTACTTATACTACGATTGACAATCGTGTTAATCTTAAGTAGGTCTCTGCCAACTGAAGTAATTAAACTTGGATGAGGGTGATGAAAGTAAATGTATATAAATGTGTATCATTTAGTACCAAATAAATATTTTTTCTTTCTTTCTTTGTATAACTTACAGTGACTTCTGAAGTAATAACTTACAGTGATTACTTCTTTCTAGCGAATCAAAATCATTATTTTTACTTATACTTTTATTATTTTTACTTATAGTGTCATTTTATGTAAGAGCCAAAATAAATGTTTCTTTCTTTCTTTCATACTACGTTTTCCGATGTTCCAGTTCGGTTTTGGTGAGATTCGTTGTAAATTTCCTAAACAGTCGCAAACTACAAAGCAAAAATTATTCAAAGTGAAGAATTAATTGAACTTGCACATAATTAATTGCTAATTGGCACAATTTTGTTAAATAATTAAACGTTAACATTCATAAACTAGACAGGATTTCTGGACTATTAGCCGCGATCGCAATGTTTGAGTTAGGTAATTTTACAAAACACTTGAAATATCGGCTGATGCAAGATGATTGGAATTTGCACGCAGAATACATTCATCATCAGGTAAGAATAAGAATAAGAAAAACTTTATTTGACACAAAAAGAAAAAATAAAAAACAGAAAAAAGGGACTTATAGATGACCCACGCTGAACTGTCCCGCCAAACTCAATGACAGGGGGGCGCTACCATCGTTCAACTATATGGTTTCCAACATGGCAAAAATCTGAACCAGCGATCCGGTATTGACGGTGGCGCCCCACTGTCAATGTCATCGACAGGACAGTCCAGTATTTTGGAACTATAAAACTATACACGCATATTTTTGTGCCAAAAAGGCGCCCGCTCAGCATTAATCGAGCCACGCGTGCTCCGACACTGCTTTTCAGCGGGTGCCTCTCCAACCAACATTTTAAATAAAATAAAAACATTAAACAAAACATTGACATCAGGTCGTTTAGTCTCCCCTGCAGGAGCATGACTCTCTAATTTACCAGAGGCAAAATTTTGGGCTTAAACTCCCCACGCTGGCCAGACGGGTTGGGGAGGCCTGATGTTCGCATGTTTGTCCCTTAGTCGCTTACGACATCCACGGGAAGAGTCGAGGTGGTTCCATTTTGTTTTGCGGGAACTACCTACACAGATAGTATTGTATGTGTTACCGGAAAAGTACAAAATTTGGTATTCAAAACTAAAAAACTGTCAAAACCATTTTTGACTGCAAAAATCAGGAAGAAGTGGTTTTAAATGATGCCTTTAGTTAAAGCCACTTGTGACAGATTTTTGCAGTAAAAACTGTTTGTGACTAAGACCGACTTAAGGTCCTATGTCCCCTATGTCCCCTAGATGGGGCAGAGAGGGCGTCCACAACCGTCCTCCATCGCGTTCGGTCTTGAGCTTCGCGTTTGATCTCGCTCTAAGTCTTGCCGATCTTTGCCTCGTCTGCTACAGAGCGCCGCCAAGTTTTCCTTGGGGGTTCCACGTTTGCGTTTTTCTTGAGGGTTCCAATCCAGAGCCTGCTTGGGGATGTGTTCGGGGTTCCTAAGAATGTGTTGTCCGATCTAGTACCACTTGCAGTGCTGGATCTATCACTGTTACTTTTGACTAAGACCATCGAACCATGTTCTTCTGATTAAATTCGTTACGGGTCCAATGACAGTTTAATCCCCCGGGACAAACTTGACCTTCACTAGTTGGGTTATGGCGGTCAAGCTGTAGACCCTGGCTACACAGGAGTTGCAGCGGTGGGAACAAGAGGTGGGAACCCCATGAGCATCGGTCAAAACCACTTTAAACTACAAGATTTTTTAAAGTCATTTACTTACAGCAGTTTTCAGAAATTCAACCAGTTTTTATTCGTAATACTAATCGGTCTGTCGATCAACCTAATTGATTCATAACGATGAACTTAATTGATACGTAACTAACGCTCGTATTCACAAACGATGCTTGCACAAATCGAACGCACAGCGTTGAATAGAGCTCTGTGATTAGTTCGTGTGTCACCCTGTGCGTCCACGCGCACTGTGAGACCTCATCGTAATGTTTGTGAATACGGGCGTAAGTATGTGACGTGACAGAACGTGTCCCAATTCTGATGTGGAACGGAAAAAAATAAAAGTATTAATTCAATTCAATTCATTAATAAATCATATTTATAATTCTGATTTCGATATTGACTTGAGGAAACCGGTCAAGCGCGAGTCGAGACAACATTCTTCTAATTTTTTGCAAAAACGGAGAATTTGGCCTGATGGAAAGTGATGATCAGGCCGAAGGTGGAAGAGTGCTTCACCCGGAATCCTAAACCACAGAACTGGGCATGTTAAGCATTGTTGTTATGATGAAAGGAACATGTTCGTGCTAGCTAGTCAGGCGGGTTTAGAGCGAGCTGCTACCAAACCCAGCAGGAAATTTTGCCCCCACTGGGAATCAAACCCGGGACCTCTGAGTCTGAGATAGGTGGTCTTACTTACTACTAGTAGACTACAGAGGTAGTTAGCCTCTGTGAATTTTTCCTTTACTTGTGCTATAAGACCTTCAATATTTTTCATTTTCATTGGACAACGAAATAAAATAAAAACACAACTAAAAATAGCAACAAAATCATTTATTTTTATGCTTAACAACAATCGCATCACAATCAGATTATTACAAATCTCGATTTTTTACCTGAAAATAACACTAATGGGACAAGAATCCAAGACTTTTCTTGCCGGTCCACTTTGACTACTAAACGGGTATAACGCAAAATGGGCACTTCGCAAACCGTGCACTTTGCAAAATGTGCACTTCGCAAAATTAGCGCTTCGCAAAATGTGCACTTTGCAAACTGTGCACTTTTCAAAATAAAATTTGCACTTGTGAAATGCGCACTTTTCTATATTGACATTTATGTCAATTTTAGCCTTTAGGCTGAAGATTTTGTATAATATTAGTATAGAAAAATGCTCATTTTGCGAAGTGCACATTCCACGTCAGAGCTACAAAGATTTTTGTAAAAAAGTTGAAATTTTCAAGTAATTTTTGAGCAAGACTTTAATTTTTTAAAGTGAAACATCTTTTTTTTTGCTTTTTAAATGCAACTTCTAAAGCTTATAATTACAAACATAAATTAACGATGATAATAATAATAACATTATTAATGATTATTTACAATACATACGGCATTTAATACCCTGTCATATTACAAGATAAAGCGTAGCTTACAGTTACAGCTTTAACTGCCAGTTTCCCGGTCCCTGATAAACTATCAGACAGTTATAAATAATAAATAAATATCTATAAATAAATATTGCTTATATTTTATTTTCTTCAAAAGTGCCTTTTCGATCTCTATCAATAAGACTTATGAAACTAAATTTTGTAATTTATCTGACAGATAAGTCCCAGATAGTAGATATTTAAAATCTTATATCCCAGTCAAAGTCAATGGGGATGTTGCCTGGGTCAAAAAGCAAGAGTTTTAATTAGTCCGTCAGTTAACTTATCAAAAAATACTCTACACGTATTTTTCACTTTTTCAAACTAATGAAAATTTAAAGAGATAAAGCGCCCCAAAGTTTATAAGAAGAGGCCGGTGACGTCAACGCTTGCTTAAAAATGCCGCACGTTGTGACGTCGTGCGCAACTTCAACGCACCATAACTATGTAATTATTTGTTAGATTGACAAATAAAAATATATGTGTCCAATATTTTTTGATATTAAACATTACGGACTAAAAAAATTTTTTTAGGCAACTAGCCTATTATCTATAAACAAAAATTGCTCTAAGATTGATAACCTTTTTGTCTAACAATAAAACTAGTGAAACCAAGTTCTAATTATCTGCCAGATAAGTTTCTGATAATCTTATCAGGGACTTTATAAGGAAGTGGGAAAACTGGCGCTAAATTAACTTAAATACTTAAAATAAAAATGGGTCAGGTTCTGGGAATAGTCAAACGTAGTGTAGGACCCAGCTCGACGGACCGACGACCTCAATAAAGTACTTGAAAAGGTTGACGAAAAAAAGCGAGAAAACATGGTTAAGTTTACTGGAGATTTACTTTCCTGGACTGCTTTATAATAAAGGAAAGAGAAAAATCAATTAAAATGTTAAAAACAAAAATAAAAAACATACAGTCCTCCTTTTTTGTAGTTGGTTAAAAGACAAAAAAAAACAAAGAAAATAAAAGATAGTACAGTTACATATTATGAACATTATATTTTACAACTATACAGTTCAGTTAATAATTTTTTGAGGTCGTCGGTCCATCGAACAAGTGTCGAGACACGTGTCAAGCTTAATGTGCCGTCGGACCTAGTGTTGCCGAAAAATCGATTATCAATTAATGCCCCTAACTATAAAATAACTTTAGAATCGATTATAACGGCCTTTCAAAGCAATAATATCAATTAATTTTGGCCCCATTTAAAGTATCGATTTCTAATCAATACACTATCGATTTTTAATCACACTATCGATCATTTGGCAACATTATCAGAGTAAATACAAATGAGTAGGTCATCTTCATAGAAACGCACCGAGCGCGGTTTGTATGTGAGCGCGCCAATATGTATGCGGCGCGCACGCACACACTGACATAATTTAGCGGGGATTAGCGGCACTGTATAATATTATGTATAAGTATAATAATATGAGCGGGGAGTTGCGCCGAATTTTGTCAGTGTGTGCGTGCGCGCCGCATACGTATTGGCGCGCTCACATACAAACCGCGCTCGGTGCGTTTCTATGAAGATGACCTACTCATTTGTATTTACTCTGACATTATTCAGCATTTAACGTAAGTAATCAGAGACCCATGGGGACATATCGCTGGTATACTTAGTAGGAGGGATGTCGTATGGGATGATAAGACGGTTTTTTGCACCAGGCTCTAGGGGGAAGAAGTCTTCATTGATCTGAAAAGAAAGGTATAATCATCATCACCATCTATTTAAGGACGTAGCACATTTATCAACCCGGAAAGGGATCGTAGCCGTATCAACTCGAGGCAGTCAGTATTATCACAGAATAACTACTACGTACAGAAGTTTTACTTCGCGAAGGTATTTAAAAAAATGTATGCTCAATGTCATTAACAATATGGTGTAATTTAGCCTGTCTCAAGAGTTAAGCACCATTTTGTTGACAAACGTCAGTGATCGGCACTGCGCCGAAGCTATAGGGCTGACTTCGGTAAAATGATGTGACGTGAGGTGCCAAACTGCGGAAAATGGCGGAGGAAATACATGACTAAATCATGTATTTCCATGAATTATCATGAATAATATTAACTACTTATGTACCTCTCAGTGTCTTGAGGCAACTTAAAAAAGTACATTCTGTGTTTTTATTATTATTTAGGCAGTTAAATACTGCACAGTATTTAGTACACCATTTTTTTTTCTTCTATCATACACAAGAATACGCGTGCATGAGTCAATGTTCGCTCGTATGTGAGGCCTTGTCGAATAGTATCCTGTAGGGGGCCATCGTGCGTGTTTTGTTTTTGATGTAAACTCGCGGAGATGAACAGGCCTGGTATTGCACAAATTACTAATAGTCCCGTTAGCCCCTCGTGGTAAGCTAAATAAGCTTGTGTTACGAGTGGGCTCACCACAATAGTCGAGCGGCGGTGGGTTTCGAACCCGCGTTCCTCGGATCTCGAGTCGGCCAATCCCTTCACCGCTCGGCTATCGTGGCTATTAATAATAGGGATGATGACTGGGTAATGAAATCGAAATTCTATTTAGTCCGTCAGACAGATAATTAGAAAATATTAGACTCATATTTTTTATTTTTTCCATAATCGAATAATTACAGTATTATATTAAGTTAAAATGTCGCGTGACGTCACTTTTGAGTAAAAATTCTACTCAAGCGTGACGTATCGCGCCATTTCAACTCGATGTAGCACTGTTATTATTTAATTATGAAAGAAAATAAAAAATATGAGTCTAATATTTTCTAATTATCTGTCTGACGGACAAATAATTGAAATTTTGTCATCTAGCCTATTGACCAGATGCAAATAAAGGATTTGGTCTACACCCCCACCCTGGCCAGACGGTTTAAAAAGGCATGTTCGCATGTTTATTCCTAATGTCTTTGATATCCTAAGATGTTCCGCAAGGTTCTATGTTAAGCCCTCAGCTTTATAACCTTAATCTTAAGGGACATCGCAGGGAGTCACTTTTGGCCCGCTATTATTTTTAACTATACATTAAAATTAAGTTACTCTTGTGGACTTTGATATCCCGAATGGAAGTTTGGTATTACGCAAGGAGCTATTTTAGGCTCGCTACAACAAATCAAATGTAGGAATGAAAATCACTCTCATCATCATTTTAGCCACAGGACGTCCACTGCTGAACATAGGCCTCCTCCAATGATTTCCAGATAAGCCGGTTGGTAATGGCCTGTGTCTTTCCCTTCCTGCCTTCCTGCTGCTTTTATGAGGTCGTCTATCCACTTTGTGAATAAGCGTACGAAAAGCACGCAGCACGCCAGCTCCAAAATTCATGACTCTCAGCGTACTCTTATCGAAAAATCCATTTATAACCTTAGGTGTAACGCAAGGCTAACTTCAATCAGGAGCACCCCAAGGAACTATTTTAGGCCCACTATTATAACACAAAAATTGAAATACAACAAATTTAAGCAAGAAAAGCACTCCAGCCTCATAACTTTGCTCTTTGCTTTGCAAGCGGCTTTGCTCATGTTCCCAGACGTCAGTATGTAGTACGCGGCCCGCTTGTTGTCCGGAGAGGTCCGTGTGTAGTTTTAGGTGTTACGCAAGGGTCTATATTAGGTCCTGAGCTGTATTACCTCAGACAGGAGCACCTCAAGGAACTATTTTAGGCCCACTATTATTCATTATCAAAAAATGTAATACTTACAACAAATTTAGGCAAGAAAAGCACTCCAGCTTCATAGCTCATGACCCTTAACGCAGCGTTTCCTTTGTTAATGGACCCCCAAGCGGCCTTGCTCACGTTCCCAGACGTCAGTATGTAGTACGCGGCGCGCTTGTTGTCCGGAGAGGTCCGTGTGTAGCTTTTTATGTGAGGCATCGCTTTGTTGCGGTGTGTGTGCGTTGCTTTCCATTGGCTGGTGAAGAAATAAAGACATCAAATAAATTCAAATAGTTTATTCAGTACATAGACCCTTTTTAGGGCATTTATACACGTCCCAAATATAGCTTGCCCTACGTATACTTCGGGACAACATATGGGCTGGTGCTGAGAAGAATATGAATTGTAGAATACTAATGGTCGCTGGGTCAGAAAAGTTCTCGAGTGGCGACCACAGACTAGAAGACATCGTGGGCAGGCCTCCCACTAGGTGGACCGACGATCTGGTGAAAGTCGGGGGAAGCATCTGGATGCAGGCAGCGCAGAACAGAGGGCTTAGAGTGAGTTTACATCAAACGTCCTCACTAGTGAGCGCGTTAAAAAAAATATGAAAATTTTAGTTCTTAAAAGCGCTAATGACATTATTTACGCACTCACTCAGGCCCCTCTTTCCCACTGGGCACTTTGGGCACGTGCCCAGGGCCCCGCGACCAAGGGGGCCCCCGTCTGCACAAAAGTCCTTTCTCCAGATAATAAGCAGGCCGGGGGTGCTGGGGCACCCCTGCCACCTCCGTCTGACGGGAACGACTTGGCGTTTTGGGCCATTCCCGTCGGCCCGTCGGCTCCCCACAAGGGAGGCTTGTAGGGTCCGCCGTGTAGGCGGGCTGTCGCCGGTGGTGTCGCGGAAGTCTAAGGCTACGGCCGGATACTCGCGACACCCCCACTTGGGCGATGACGGGACGCCGCGGAGGTTTTAGTGGGCCCCGTCCTTTTCAGTGCGCCGGGAGTCAAGTGCCCAGGGCCCCTAGTAGGTTAAAGACGGCCCTGCGCTCACTAGTGACGACGTTTGATGTGAACTCACTCTAAACCCTCAGGTCGTTGTGAAAATCCGTGAGCGAGGACTTTTCGACGTCATTTGGCTGAAATTAACAAACGAACGATACTGTATGAATTAAGTATGGATGTCATCATCATCATCACCTCAGCCATAGGACGTCCACTGCTGAACAAAGGCCTCCCCCAATGCTTTCCATGTTGCCCGGTTGGTAGCGGCCTGCGTCCAGCGCTTTCCTGTCACCTTTATGATGTCGTCGGAAGTCGTGAGTATGGATGTAGCTTAATTATACTCACTATAGGAAACTATTTAGCCACAGTTGCTTTTGGTGTGCGCTAGCGGCGTACGGCAAACACCCGCCGCCGAGTAAGTCGTCGTGCGATTGTCGCACGTTTTCTGTGAAAAGGACGCATCAATTTAATATAATAAGGTCATGCGGGAAAAGTCCACTGACGGACTTCATTTTGAACAGAAAAGGGCCCCGTATAGTGCTAAAAAATTACAACTGCCACGCAACTGGACGACGAACGAACATCAGCTGTTTTGACAAATCCGTATCGCGGTGTCGTTTTGACAGATAGTTCAAACGAAGTTGTAATGTAAACGGAGCGCAACTATACTTTTACATAAAAGCATACAGAATGCTACTTATTTCAAACGCTTCACGAATATTTGCTGTGTTTTAGTAATTTTACTTTAAAAAATAAGGTGTTCGGACTTTTAATGGAAAATGAATAAATCCGTTGTTTACGCGTGAATTTTACTGCGATACCAAATTGCACATCAGCTGGAATGAGAATGGAACGTACAACACGTTACAAATTAGCTTTGAAATTCGAATATTATTCGCCAACCAAAATCCTACCTAAAGACGGGTAGATAAGCTTCAATTCCGGCTGCGGTGACAGCGCTTGCGGCTGATTCTTTATCTTCGTGAACTGATGAAGGAAGTCTCCAGTCAGCCATAACTGTGAACAATAAAATATCATCATCATCATCATCTCAGCCATAGGACGTCCACTGCTGAACATAGGCCTCCCCCAATGATTTCCATGTTTGGTAGTGGCCTGCGTCATCATCATTGAATCAGAAATGAGGAGATCCGTAAACGAACTAAAGTCGCTGACATCATCATCATTTCAGCCATAGGACGTCCACTGCTGAACATAGGCCTCCCCCAATGACTTCCACATCGCACGGTTGGTAGCGGCCTGCATCCAGCGCTTTCCCGCTACCTTAAGTCGCTGACATAGCCCGACGTATTAGCAAGCTGAAGTGGCAATGGGCAGGGCACATAGTACGCAGAACTGACGGCCGATGGGGCAGCAAGGTTCTAGAGTGGATGCCACGTACCGGAAAACGCAGCTCGGGACCACCCACAAGGTGGACCGACGACCTGATAACATAGTACGCAGAACTGACGGCCGATGGGGCAGCAAGGTTCTGGAGTGGATGCCACGTACCGGAAAACGCAGCTCGGGACCACCCACAAGGTGGACCGACGACCTGATAACATAGTACGCAGAACTGACGGCCGATGGGGCAACAAGGTTCTGGAGTAGAGACCACGTGTCGCTCCCATAACTCAGGCACTGACCGAGTAAAGTGCTAAACGTATAGGAAATTCTTCACTATCACTATTTTTCACATTTTTGTAAATTCTCTTCGAATTTGAAATAACGACCTTATTCCATTACAATAAACACCTTGAGCTCCTTCTTGAAGCCGCCGAATTGCTAGTTTTTCGCGTGTCATTTGTCACAGAACTTTAGAAATTATTCTTGCTACAGAATTTTCGACCTTATTCCGTGACCATTAAGGACTATTTTACCTTAGGATCCCTTCCGAAGTTCTTGATACATTTGATATGGAATTTTAAGCCGTATCCCGTAAGTAATAGAGACTATTCTACCTTGGGCTCCTTCCCGAAGCTGCCTTTAGTTTTTTAATAACAGATGGCGCTTTCATTCAATTTAGCAAATTCTTCAACAAATTCTAACAATTTTTGGAAATTTTCTTGGGATTTGATCTTTGGGCACCCTCGGATGGTGAGCGACTTTTTTCCGGACGCGCCACCAGTACCTCAACTGCTTCGTTCGAAAAAGCCCATCATATGGTTATGATATATCGTGGTGAGCCTCGAAGAGAGTGCTAGTGAAATGTAGACCTTATGCAGTTTGAATAAAGATCAGCTCACCTTCCAGCTACTAGCTTCCGCAACGAAATCTTATTTTGCTACAGAATTTTCGACCTTACTCAATTCAAATAGAGACTATTTACCTTGGGCTCTTTCCCGAAGCTGCCTATACTGCTAGCTTGAGCCAGCAGCGGCCATTTGTCGTTTTCAGCGGCGGGGACCGCACAGTGTTGCCTCAACAGTGACCCCACGCGGGTCATGCCCCAGTCTACGTCGAAATGGGACCCGGGCGCTGATGCGACTAGGAACACGCTAGAATAAGATCAGATAAGGTGAGATAATGAAAGAAAAAAGATGGAAAAAAAGGGAAAAGAAATAAAAAAAGAGGGGATAACTCTTTTATAATGCGAACAGCTAGGGTCTGGAATTTGTTGAATGCTGCTGTCTTTCTCGAACACTAAAAAAACTCATAAAAATGTATGTACCATCACTACCATCCTAGACTGCATCTCACTTAACATCAGGTGCGATTGCGGTCATATAACCTGCCTTGTTCGGAAGAAAGGAAAAGAAAGGACAAGAATGTTAAAATATTATGTTTTTTAATAGTATCAAAATAATTAAATAACTACTTNCATTTTTTGTGTATTTTATGTATTTTTTAGTATTGCCTGTTATTTAGCATTATTACTGTTTTTATTTTAACAGGATATACCGCTTAGTTTAAAAGTTATTACGTTTTCTTTACAATAAGTAATTGGAAGAAAAAAAAATCTATAAAAAATTAAAAAAAAATCTCAAAAATTTTTTGACCTCTTTTTTGTCGATAAAAATAGGTCTAGTTTCATCTATTTTCATATGTACACTTTAACGTGACTCACACTGTATGTCCCTACAGCGACGCCCTGCGTGACGTCATGACCGTGTCTACACCTTCCAGCTAGATACAGCCGTTCAGAGCTTGGAAGCTGGTGTGGACTCTGCTGCGATGAGTACTTTCTACAGAGAGTAGTCTAGACTTAAGCCGAGCCGCATTTCAAAGCTGCATGTCGCTTTATATGCAGCGACATTCGCTAAAGCACCGCCCTGCGTGACGTCTTGACCGTGTCTACGCTTTCAAGCTAGATGCTGTCGCTCAGAGCTTGGAAGCCGGTGTGGACTCTGTTGCGGTGAGTAATCTACACTGAGTGAGACAGAGAGAGAGAAGGAGAGTAATCTATAGCGCGGCAGCTTGCGGCTGGAGCTCGACTCCACGCGCGCCGCCTTGTATGCGGCGCAGTTGGACGCGGCTGCTCAGAGCTTAGAAACTGGTGTGGACGGAGCTGCGGTAAGTCATAGTCTACAGAGTGAGTGAGAGAGAGAGGTCTAGAGTGAGACGGCAGCGCCCTGCGTGACGTCATGACCGTGTCTACGCCTTCCAGCTAGACGCTGCCGTTCAGAGCTTGGAAGCTGGTGTGGTTAATGCTGCGGTAAGTACTTTCCACAGAGAGTAGTCTAGAGGTAACTGGAAAAAAAGAAATTATATTACTGGATTTTTAACTGACTATCTTTTTTTATTTCAGAATCGAGTGAGTGAAGCCGAGTTGACCATTCAAAGGTTAAGAAGTCAAATTAGGAAATTAAAGGTATGTTAATTGTAATTTGCTTAGTCGAAGTATGATTTTTTTTTTTATTTTAGTTAGTAAAAAATTCTCCATAGAATTGCATATTTCAGAATATAATTAATGTTTTAAACAGCAAATTGAAAACGAAATACATTATCAGAACTATAAGGCTGAGTTGCACCACCTAACTTTGACCGTAACTATAACGATAACCGGTGTTTTATGTATGGAGTTTGACAGATTTTTGACGTTTGTTAAAGTCAAAGTAAGATGGTGCAACCCAGCCTATGTCTAGCGCTTAACTGATTCAGTGCTTGAGGTATGGAAGCGGCACGGAAAGAATTTTATTTTATTTTTATTTATTTTTCTTTATTCAGAAAACCACAGCTCTTTATAATAATAATACAAACAGGTATTTTTGTTCTTACAGCCAATAATGGATTCTATATATTATTACAATCTCGTAAAAAACAGTCAAAGGGGCCAAATTTGTGCCATCTAACGACAGCGAGACTTCAGAGATGGAATTGTGTAAAGCAATTGTTATCATTTGACAGTTCATAACGTACGATTATTCTGCCAAACGCTTTGTTTAACTGACTTTATTGTACGTTATGAACTGTCAAATGATTACGATTGCTTTACACAATTCTGTTAAAATATTATGTTTTTTAATATTATCAAAATAATTAAATAACTACTACATACTAGCGCCATCTAGTGTTAAAAATGTGTACTAGTGTTCCATAGCTAATGAAAAAGAAATAAAGATTGTCTATTCTCAACCTGCAACTCATTCGTTTTATTAGGTTATGGGCCCAGTGCAAAAGTTTAATAAAATTGCTACAGTAAAATCGTATCGTGCATCAGAAATAAAGTTATAATGTCGTCAGGAAGTTATTTATTGAATGTGCCGAAGTTGAAAGGGCGGGAGAACTATGATGACTGGGCGTTCGCGGCAAGAAATTTTCTCATCTTGGAAGGCATGGACATCGACGCCATTCCTGTCGATTTAAATGATGCAGAAGACAGAAAAGCGAAAGCAAAACTCATCATGACGATTGATCCCAAGTTATATGTACACATCAAAAATGAAACCAAAGTCAAGGACCTGTGGCAGAAACTCCAGAGGTTATTTGATGACAGCGGATTCACAAGAAAAATTAGTCTGCTTCGAACACTAATATCCATCAGATTAGATAACTGTGAATCCATGACAAATTACGTGAGTCAAATAGTGGAAACTGCACAACGACTAAAAGGTACAGGATTTGAAATTAATGAGGAATGGATCGGATCATTGCTGTTGGCGGGGCTGCCAGAAAAGTTTGCCCCGATGATTATGGCAATAGAACATTCTGGCATAGCTATAAACTCTGATGTCATAAAAACCAAACTGCTTGATATGAGTTCTGAGATCGGTGACCATGACTCGGAAGTTGCATTATGGTCGAAGCAAAAAAGTAAGGTTGGTCAAAATAACTACACAAAAGGCGCGAAACCACAAACGTCAAATACGTCAAATGTCAAAAAGGTTATAAAATGCTACAAGTGCAAGAAAATTGGCCATTACAAGAACCAGTGTCCCGAAATGAAAGAAAAGCAAGTAAACGCATTCAGTGCTGCATTTTTCAATAGTGAATTTGACAAGGAAGACTGGTATATCGACTCAGGGGCTAGTGCTCATATGACATCAAGTAAAGAAAACTTATTGCAAGTGAGAAAAGTACACGATATGAAGAGAGTTACTGTTGCAAACAATATGACTGTGCCAGTGGTTTGTGCCGGAGATACACAGATTACTACCCTTGTAAATAATTCTCAGTTTGACATTAAGGTAAACAACATTTTATATATACCTAACCTAACCACCAACTTGTTATCAGTAAGCCAGTTGATAGCAAGAGGAAACAAAGTTACTTTCGAAAGTGATGTTTGCTATATACATAATCAACGGAATGAGCTTATTGGAATAGCTAACTTGGAGAATGGTGTGTATAAGTTGAATACAATGAAGTCAGAGAAAGTGTTGGCGGCAGCAGTTCAAACTACAGATGCAAAACAGTGGCACAGACGATTAGGACACATCAATAGTAATGATTTGCAGAAGATGAAAAATGGTGCTGTAGAGGGAGTATCTTTTGATGTGAAGGCTGATATTACAAAATCCAATTGCCAAGTATGTTGTGAGGGGAAACAGAGCCGTTTGCCATTCCAACTACGAAACCATAGAAGTACAGAAATGCTAGATGTAGTTCACTCAGATCTGTGTGGACCTATGGAGGTTCGATCGATTGGACAGGCAAGATATTTTCTATTGTTTGTCGATGATGCAAGCAGGATGGCATTTGTATATTTTCTAAAAGAAAAGAATCAGACTCTACAGTATTTCAAGGAATTTCAAAGAATGGTTGAGAATCAGAAAGGAACAAAGATAAAAATATTGAGAACCGACAATGGAGGGGAATTCTGCTCAGATATGATGGAAAATTATCTGAAAGATAATGGAATTATTCATCAGAAGACGAATCCGTACACTCCGGAGCAGAATGGTCTCAGCGAGCGTTTCAACAGGACCATAGTTGAACGTGCAAGATGTTTATTGTTCGAAGCTAAACTGGATAAAAGCTTTTGGGCCGAAGCAGTTAATACGGCTGTATACTTAAAAAACAGATCGCCGGCTTCAGGTTTGGACCAAAAGACACCGATTGAAATATGGACTGGACAAAAACCTGATCTCAGTCACGTCAGAATATTTGGGAGCCAGGTAATGATGCATGTTCCTAAAACTAAAAGATTGAAATGGGACAAGAAAGCAGTTCAATTCATATTGGTGGGCTACTCAGAGAACGTGAAAGGTTACAGATTGTATAATCCAGAAACTAGAAAAATATCTACCAGCAGAGATGTCATCATAATGGAACCAGAAACTACTCAGATAGAAATAAACGAAGGACAGATTGATGAACAGCAATCAGAGCGAGAGGAAAGTTCTACAGAAGAAAGTTCAACAACATTGATAAATCAAGATGATCCTACTTATGTATGTGATTCAGAAAAAAGTACAACTTCAACTGATGGAGAGTCTTATCAGACATTATCAGAAGAAGATCAATCTGAAAATGAAGAGCCTCAGTTGGTTGGAAAGCGTATCAGAAAACCTCCTCAAAGGTACGGTTTTATTAATCTTTGTGTTTCAGATGAACCAGAGTCTTGGGCTGAAGACATAACTTACCATGAAGCTACCAATGGTCCAGAGAAAGACAAGTGGCTGCAGGCTATGTCTGATGAACTTCAAGCGTTTGAGTACAACCAGGCATGGGAGATTGTCAACCAAGAGGAGGCAGATAGAGTGGTACAATGTAAATGGGTGTTCAAGAAAAAGCTAGAAAGCAACGACAGTATCAGGTACAGAGCTAGACTTGTTGCAAAAGGTTACACTCAGCAACATGGAGTAGATTTTAACGAGACTTACTCACCAGTTCTAAGGTACTCTACACTTAGACTTCTGTTTGAATTAAGTGTAAAGCTTCAATTTGAAATAACTCATCTAGATGTAGTTACAGCCTTTTTAAATGGTGTTTTAACAGAAAATGTATACATGCAGGCACCTCCTTCTTTAAGTTGTCCAAGTAATTGTGTACTTAAACTTAAAAAACCGGCCAAGTGCGAGTCGGACTCGCGCACCGAGGGTTCGGTACAAACCTG